AGGGGGCCACCTCCGGTTGGTTACGAAGATGAGGTTTACGTCCTGACCGAAGACAGGAGACCGCCGGTTAGGAACCTCAATGGGAGCTCATAAGTGGTAGCACCGGGGATGGCGCTAAAAGGACGAGGGGGCTATATAATACTTATGTTGTTTTAATGGGCCTTTCAGGGAGGAGGCAAGCAGGAAATTCGAACCTGGTAACTGGATCGCCCTCTCCCTTACCTAGTGACTGCGCCTCCCCTCCTTCTTGAATATTGTATTTTCCCTATACATCTTGTCGTCTTTAATAAAGATGTCCAAAGCAAACCAATCGGGCTTGTCTAGGAACGCTAGGAATCGGGGAGCGGAGACCGAGGAGTCTCATCCCACATATAGATATTTTGATGAAACTGCACAATGGTTTTTAAATCACAAGTGCAGACCAAGAGAGCTTGCTTACGTTGAACAGAAAAACTAAAGACTTCTCACATTAGCGAGATAGTAACTAAATCCGCTGGTGTCAATTGCATTTCACGCAAAAGTGCCCCATTCACTGATAACCTACATTCAAGAACTTGTGTCTGGTCGTGTGTATACAACTTTTGAGCAAGTTATATTGGATTAAAAAAGAATGAGTGAGGAGTTATTTTACATCTTACGTCAGGTTCGCAGTCAATGTGAATATTTGTTAGTAATATTTAAAAGAATAAGTCAGTAAAATGCACTAACTTTTCGGATGCTTAAGCTAGGTGCGGATATAAAATAATGACTATGACTCCCCAACATTAATAGTCTTATTTGCTTTTGCTACAAGTTGTTTGTATTCCAATGATTTATTCAGGGCGGCTCCATTGGTTTGGTTTGTTTTCGGCCTGCGTACGGTGTTCTTCTGCTCCGTGTTGTTGTGGTCTTCGTTGCTAGTCTTCATATATGTTCTCCCTGTTTAGGCAGAATGCATTTAAGCGGAAATCCAAGGGCGTCAGAACGGGTTAATGACAAAATAAGGGACCCCATTCAGAGGGAGTCATTGGCGAAGCGGTTGGTTCTGCGAAATATGTGTTCTGTTAAATTGTCCAATCTTCCAAAGAGGTATAATTACTCTGCTCTCTTGGAACTTGTGCCAGATATGGTGGCCTGTCGAGTATTTTACGATCCAATTTCCCGAAAACCCAAGAATTATGTCTATGTCGAACTTTCATCCAATGAGATTGCATTAAAGTGTGTGAATAAGGTTAATAACAAGGAATTTCAGGGTAAGAGGCTGAACGCTTCTGTCGGAGGTGGTCTTTCCGAGTGTGTTGGTAAAGCAGTATAGGCTGTTTATGCGATAAGACGACTATATTCCTTGTAGTTTGCGTCTCTACAATCTCCATTGGAAAACTACGAAGGGAGAAGTTGCAAGGCACTTCCCTGGCTCTATTTCAATTAATATACCGACAAGGATGGGGAGGAGTTGCGTTGATCGAAGACAGTCAGGCGTTGCAAATCTTATGTTTGGTACAGTCGAAGAAGCAATTGCCGCGGTCGACGAAAAACAGGGATGTGTCATACGTGGACGCAGGGTATCAGTTCATTTTTGTCCAAAGAAAGTCAAAAGGTAGGTGGTCTACTATTGTTCATTCTGTTAGCAAAATTATCGGGCTGGTTGTATATGGTCTAAAAAAAACAACAACCGAAGATGAGGTACGTGCCCTTTTTCCCCAAGCAAGCAAAGTTGAAATGTATCCACTCGGCGGATTCGCAGTGCTGCACTATGCTCTGATAGAGGATTGTAAGCTGGATAAAAAAAATGCGATGGGTGCTGAATTGAAAAAGAGAAAACTGAAAATTGTGTTCAAGTTTCAAAGTGGAAACCATGAGGAAATGAGACCGGAAGCAATCACAGAGGCCAAGCAAAAGAATCCCAGCCCCTTAATTTTCGTGAAAAACCTTGGAAGGTCAGCAACAGAAGAGCAGGTTTCCAGTTTGTTCCCGAAGGCGAAGATCGTCAGTATGCCCAGAAAGGGGAAGGCGTGCAGGGGGTAGGTCTATCGCCGTGGCTGATGTCTTAACTGTCCTTTCTAATGCTCCTTGAGACATCTATGGAGTTTCGCTTAAGGACGAAATGGAGAGACGTTTATGCTGATTGTCTTACATGTAGGTTTCGAGTGGAAATAAAACTTATGATGCGCAATTGTGGGGGATGAAACTGGCATGTTAAATATAATTGGTGAGGACTTTTCTCTGTAAAGTTGTCACCCCAAAATTTTTATTTTCCTAGGTATGCTATACTTGATTGCAAGTCCGTTATAGCGGCTAAACGGATACTGGCCAAGTCTTATGTTTTTGAAGGTCGGACACTTGTTGTACAACCAGCGTCTGGTAAAAAGTTCGAACTTAAGCGTTCTATTGTGTAAATTGTACCCAATTTATTACATAAACGTTGATTTGTGCAAAGTGTTTTCTGTTTCCCTAGTTGCTTAAACCGCGCAAAGCGAGGTATTTTTTATTCAGGCGTGGATTGGTGTTGATCTGGTATTGTTTCCGGGTTACAACCTGAGCGTGGCCCTCATCTGCGATGTGAGCTCGCCGTTGGAATTGAATAGCGACTTGCAATCCGGCCACTTGTCTCTTTCACCCAACTTGTGTACCATTGTAGATGCTGATTACGTTGTAGATATCAGCCAGGTACTACTGTGACCTATCTTTCGTCCATCTTTACGACCGAGCGGTTCAGCTTGGTTTACTCAGATGGAAAAGACTGAATGTGGAGCTACCGAGCTGCTGCTTTGCATCGGCTCCACTCTCCTCAACATTGATTTTGCATTAATCTTTAATGTAACTTTGGTGCATTCGCCAATCAGTCATTCTATTCTTAGATCGAGGCCGCTGCGGTCCAGGCTTTGACTAACAGAACCAGTGGAAGGTTACAGGGCAAAGGAGTGTTTTCGTCGGAGTTCCTGGCGTGTCTGCAACCACGTCATTCAATTAAAGAAGCGTTGGCCACCTTCGGTGTCAAAAAGTCAACCACAAGAATACTCTTAGTTCTTTTACAGACACCTGGATCAAGCGCGCCTGATTTTAAGAGAGTCAACCCACGTATATCCGGCAAATTCGAGGATCCGCTTACCCTATGCAAATCCTGCAATCGCGAGAAGATATCTCAAATTTACGGCATATCTAACACTGAATTTAAAGGTTTTAATGATGGTGAGCGTGCCTATGTGCTCAGTGTCCTAACGCGAATGTCCGCCAGTTTGTTAATGCGATAAATACATGTGAGCTTTCTTATTTAGCTTGTTTAGGCAATTCCTGCCGGAGCTTGCTCGGAAATAGGGCTCTAGCTGCGCTAGGGCGTCATAGCCGAGCTAGACTGATTGAATGACTCTTCGCTAGCAATAAAGTTTGTCTTTATCGGTTAGGCAGAGTCGCATATTCGCCCGCTTGAAGAGTGCTACTTCTATCGTGGTCATGTATGCATTGCCCGGAAATCCTTCGTCCTTGATGGATCAAACTGGCAGATGCAAAAATAACGCGGCGAGGGACTTCGGTTTCTCATCCACACTTCCTGTTAACGATCCTTTTGCTTTTCTATGGAAATGGCACTACCAGAATGGATGTTGATCTGTTTTTGCTATAGTTCAATACTGAAGTGATATAGACTGAACGATTAAGCTGAGCTATCTGTACAGAATACCCGGATCATTTGTTACTAATGAAGTAGGGAATTTAGGCACAAAAGTGGTTGTCGGCCCCGGTTCGCCGTCGATACTCTCGCGGCTGTCTCCGCGCCTTAAGTGCTAATATTCTTGCTTTTAAGTTGATTCAATAAGTGGAACTAGTTTGCGCTGAATCTCCAACGCCTGGGTAGCCCGTGGTGACCCGAAAGGACTGCGGATTTCGAGGGCAACCGGGTTTAAATAATGTGACATCGTTGGGGATGATGGATGTGTTCCCTCCCTCCCCCCTCGGGCTGTTAGTGATGTTAAAGAACCTAGTTTATTGAATTTAGAGAGAGGGGTATTTGCCCAAAAAAGGCCCTAGTTGTGTTAGGATGTCAGGCAAGCTAAATTGACCGTCTCGCCGTATCTGTACGCATCAGTGAAAGCGGTATGCTCTGGTGTTCCATCCAAACTTCGTATTCTTGGAGCTCTGATCTTGATCGAGGATTGTTACTGTTAACGGATTTAAGCCGCTGTGCCATGTCTTCCCCATGGATGAGCGTCTGTTAGCAAGCCTAGAATCTTGACTGGTGCTAGATGCATCGTGAAACCGATTAATTTTCCATATCCTGTTGCAGTGCTACGATGTACGTCCTTGTCACTTCTACTCTTCGGGTGAAAGGGGTACTGCGCGGACAACTGCTTGCTAAGGGATTAGCCAGAATAGCTTGATTGACTTCGTCACCCGTCGATTTTCCTCCTGACCGCTCAGAGAAGCCGTGTATTTCTATTTCTATCAGGTGCTTGCTGCTGCCAGTACGGAAGTACGCAGTTGTCTCCGATTCTTATATAGCAGTTTGGGGTCGAAATGTTCACGGCTGTAAAAACAAACCAGAATAGGCAGCTTTGCCTCCACTGAACACGGTTCTCTTGATCAGAGATCCTCCCCAGCTCAAAGGGAGTACCCCTGCGGACTCCATCGCGCGCCTCTGTTGCTCAAAAAAGGCATTCGGACTGTACTCTGTTCGTAGTCGTTTTTTACCAGTTGTGTCACTTAGAGGCCACCAACTAGACACAGATTGAAACCACGTTTTACAAATATCCTTTAATAACAAATGTTATACACAATACATTTGTGCGGTTAAGATGGTGGGGTAAGGGGATCCGCGAGTTGGCGATAAGTCTTAGGTACAAAGGCATGGGAGCGGAATTCTGAGCAGCGTCATTGAATTGTAATAGTAGAAGAGGAATGCACCAGAAGAGATAGATCATACAAAGGCCTTGGCGGCCTGGTAGAGCTGAGCCAGTGAGAGTATGTGAACGGGCAGGCATGATCGCCGATCGTTGATGCAAGGGTCGTAGGAGAGCCAGGAGAGGGCGTTGTAACACTCAAGAACAAAACGCAGCACATCACAGGTGACACTTGAGTCAAGCAGATGACCCCCCGCCGTGGCAGAGTTGGAGGAGGGGCACTGTTGGCCCCCGTTGGCCGCTGCATCATCATCTACCCCCACCAGGGTGCAGTGCAGATGCAGAGAGGACTTCAAGCACACTGGATTGTTACGACGAGTTTGCTGACAGGCCGCCCAAAACCATGCAGGAAGAGGGCCTACTGGTGCTGTGGAGACGTAATAACCCAGAGCCAGTGGCTGCTGCATCAGGCTGGGCTTTTCCGACTGCAATTGCAAAATATTTCAAAAAGTACTTAAATAGGAGCCCTCATATCCATCTGTCAACGTTACATGTTATAAGCCAGGTTTTCGTGTAGTATAAGTAAATCTAAGTAGCTTCTACGCTGAACGAAACTCTTCTCTGTAAATAAAAACTGGACCTAAAAAAATGGAAGGGATTTCGTGATAGCAACAGAGAACAAACACTGTTAGCTCAGAATATCGATGTAAAAGCGATCAAAGACTGGCTAATGTGGCTCTAAAGCTTGAACTGGGAGTGAACAGAATACATATGAAAATATGCACCTGAATCGTAGTAACAACTGTGGACCTTATAGGTGCTACATGGACGCGAATTACTGACCAGATCGCCTTAAATGGAGGGTTGTAGAAAAAGTATACTCGGCAAGTCTTGCAAAAAAGCAATTAGAAAAGGCCGTCCAGGCGCATTTCATTTGATATCACACCCAAATAAAGATGCCTGGGATGACAAACCTGAGGATCGGGGACACCGAACGGGAGAAGGGCATCAAGAAGAAAGTACTTGGCACGTTCACGACAGGCAACTTCGTAGGTCATACCGTGCGTGTTGGGTTCCGCAGGTATGCCACTTCGCGCCATAGGCATCAGTTGACCGGTACCTACTCCGTTGGGATCCTGGGAAACCCCTGTGCAGGGCCCACCGCCTCCAACCACGCCTGCCACCACGTTGGCCAGATTGCACCCCGGTCCCGCACTGGTCGGTGTGGTTAAAGTATCCAAACTGGGCATGCCTACCGCTGTATGATCGTCCAAGTCTTCATAAAACTCGCTGAATATTTCGGTAAAATTGATATCGTCTTGTTCCTAGACATGCACAAATAATAAATGACTTCCAGATATTTTGTATCGACCGACAATCCAGTTGGTGATCGTTTGAGAAAAAAATGAAGAAATCGAGGGAAAATGAGGAGGTTCCTTACGGACTGAGCCTGAGCAGAGGTGCTGGTGGGAAAGACGAGAATGTGAGTAGTGCTGGGAGCATAGCCGGCGGCAGAAATGACACCGTTAGCAAAGGGTCCAACGAACGCCTGACCAGCAGGTCCTCCGGCCACGCCAGCGCCCCCACCCGAAACTGAGGTGCTACCACCACCGCCCCCTCCGCCACCACCACCACCACCCCCGCCGCCGCCATGACCACCAATGCCGTGACTACTGAAGCCACCAAGATCGCCAGCATTAAGGTCGGAGCCAGGGAAGAGGCGGAAGGTGGACTGGGGCTCAGTAGAGACGAGGCAGGCGGAAATTAACGAGGGCGTCTCGTGAGCACACGTGCTGGGTACGCGAGAGTCCGCGGTTAGGCTAGTAGTGGCAGTTGATTTGCCACGGTAAATCGGGCCGGTATTGCTCAAGGTGGCAGGGGTCAAAGTTACCACATTGCATAAGGCACAGTTAGCGCGCAGGGAACGATTCACGTTCTGGAGATTTTTGCGACTCAACAATCCACACCAGCCTAAACAGCACATAACACACACTTAAAATAGGTAGAAAACCTCATAGGCATTTGTCCTCCAAATACCTAAGTTAATGACTTTGTTCAGTGAGCCAGAAAGCGAGTTCCACTCATGCACCAGAAAATTTAAAGCTATCTTAACCTATTGTTTTCCGCTGTTTCAGAGCATAGTAGCTTTGCTCCAGTACAATGTGTTGGGAAAAGGATCAGTCATGGTCACCTTTAAGCTCCCCATGTCCCAGACGTCCGAGTCGCCCGACAACCAAGCGCCAGGGATTGGAGGTGGTGGTGATTACGGAAATGATGAAGTCCCAGAGTCGTGCCAACGCCAGACGACGTGTCGAGATATGGGATCCGTCTGCCCCCACGCCAGCTGCAGATTGCCCTGAGGGTGCGGACATGGATTCAGGAGCCCCGATGTTGATAAAGGTTTGCTGCGCCAGGGTGCCATACTGATCCGTGCAAGTGGCTAGAAGCCACTGAAGATCTTCTGAGAGACAGTATGAGACGAAAAGCACAGAGGAGGGTTGCAAGGGCTCAGCAGGATGCACGTCCCACTGGCCCCAAAGATCGTGTGCCTGCGCCAGGGTGTAAGCCGGAGCGTATACGCGGTGAATGTGATCCTTCTGAAACACAATTGATAGACCTTGTCTCCCTCCGAATAACCCACCAACGTTGTCTTGATATGCTCTCTCATCCCAATTACTAAGAAACAGATAACATTCCCGAGCATATTTAAGTGCAAAATTAGTACAAAGGCAGCAAGCTCTGTAAAATCATTTTAGATGAACATGAAATCATCACAAAAATAACTCGAATCAGTCATAACTGTAAAACAAACATGTACCAGCAATTTGCACTGATGCCGTAATCGATTACACAAGATCTCCCCGAAATGCCTTAAATAGACCGTTATTCCTGATAAATAAAAGTTGATTTTAGTAAACCGACCTGAAAGTTAGCAGAGATGACCTCCTTGTCAGCAGCAGGACCCATTCCTGTGAGGGTTCGGTTGGCGTTGATCAAAGAGGGCGAAACGACACGATCGATGGAGGTGTAAATGGCAAAGGCCATGGATTTGATGTGAGACAACAAGCCAGCATCTCCCGCGTCCTCACGACCAATGACACCACAGCGAGGCGAGACGACGTGTGACATAGGTAACAGCTGCACAGACACACGCTGACGCCAAGACATCGGCAGTTGGGCGGTCATCCGGCCCGCTGTCTCTGCCAGGCATCGGGTCGTTACGTTTCGTGACTCATCGCCCATGTCAAAAAGCTGTACGAATAAAAAATAGGAGAATAAGCTAGGCGGGAAAGAGGTCTCATGTTAAACAAAAATGAACTTGTAGGGTGACAATATAAATAACTGGTTTTAAACCGCTTGATTTTTTTAATTGAGAGTTTGTAGCAGTAATCAAATAAACCAACCTGAGTGAAAGGATCGACGAGATAGATTACCAGAGTGACATCGTATTGGGAGTCGGCATTGGGATCAAAAGCCGTTGTGAGAGGACCTTGTCCATTGAGAGGGCTGATTTTAGAGAGGATGACGGGGGGTGTAGAGGGGGGCATGTCCTGGATACCCGCGAAGGGTGCCAAAAGCGACGAGCAAGAGCCGTCAGGGAGGGCAACGCCGCGCTCTGAGAGCGCTTTCCGCACAGCATGGAGGGCCCCCGACTTATAGCGATGCAGACTGAAGAGAAGCGCGTCCGTCGGATGAGCCCCGCCACCGCCCGACTGCTGGCGACGACGTGATTGACGCGCATTGATGGGAGAAAATCCGGACGAGAGATCGTTTTCGTCTATGATAAGAGGAAAGCAAGAGGTGAGATACATAATTAATTGGTCAATCAGAACAGACCCAAGCGGTAATTTACCTATGGATTAGTAAAACTTAAAAGGCATTGAATTTGCAAACTGACCAAATGACCATGTTTTACACTACCAGACAAGGAGATAATAAGATTGGCTTGCCTTTGTAGGGGAAGGAGCACTGAACGTGTATGAAGGCAGATTCAGGGTTGCCGGCTTTGGGTTGGTAATAAGGGTAATGTTGGCCAAAGAGACAGTTCTCGAAGGCGGACGAAAGCTCATAAAAGAAGGTAGACAGTGTTTCAACCAACCGACGCTGACCTTCAAGTCCAACAGAGCTAACCCCATGACTCTGCCATGAGGGCAAGACCACAGCGAAGGCCACACGCTTGGATCGCGATAGAGGCGCCAGTGAAAGATGGTCCTAAAGTAAATTAAATAAAAACAAAAATCACCCAAAACTAAGAATATGAGGTATCGAAACCTTACAAACAAGAAAGTAAAAAGAATTTGGCTGTGCTTAAAACTATCACCAAATAGATGTTGATAATACTAGTGTAAGCCATTTAAGATTGAAAATACTCGTTACTACGCCTCGAGCTATACTGAGGACAAGACATGGCAGGCAAGTTTACCATTAGTGTCATTATAAATTTATCCCTTCTCATGAGCCGATGATGTCTAATTTAACACAAATGTGAACTACAGGCAAGTAAGGGAAAAAATATGCGAGTCAACACCAATTGCTTAGAAATATAATAGGATGCTGTCTTAGTAGCGCATGAAAAATGAAAAGATCCGAATTAAACTCAACGATAGGCAAAATTCACATGTGCTAATCATATCCTCCAGACAAAAGGACAGCAGGACCTGTACCACACTACCCAAAAGCGCGATTAAATGATAGAATTCATATTTTAGGAAACAGAGGGATAAAACATTACACCGTATCGGGAGCAACTTAGTAGATATTCAATATAATCTCTATTGAAATACACAATTTATTTATTGTGAAACTGATAAATTCCATGTCATTACTGAAAATTATTTCAAACGAACATGCGATAATGGCACGGAAAGAAACCCACCCAGTCACGAACGCTAAAGGGAGAAATTAGAACATTGGTATTCCCATTTTTCAAGCCACCACCAACTCGAAATTGCGGAATCGGCTGAGCCTTAGAGGATTCGCTGTGCCCACGTCCAGCAAGTTGGTGGAAAGCTTTCCAGGTGAGCGGTCCCTCAACTTTGTAGGTGGACTCCAACTGATCGATTGCCTCTTGCAACCACAGTCGAACGCTCTGAAAAGCAAACTCAGCATATAGTACTTGCGAACTGGTACATACCTGTACAAATTTTAAAAAAGTTTTCATCTCTTGTATTGCAGCAGATTTATTCTCAGCACAATCTCGTATTTTTCTTCGTTAGACAAAACATCAAACAATAACTATAACAAGACCTAGAGTTCAATGCAAAAAAGTAGTGAAAATGCATCTGCATACTTTTCGAAAAATCGTTTCTTACCCCGAGTAAACGAATTTGATCATTCTTATTGGAGGGCAAATCGGATGGAAACTGGCGGAACACGGCAGGGTGGAAACCGACACCCTCCTTACGAGTTGCTTCATCTAGCCGAAGATGTCTAGCCGCCACATTCCCTCTCAGGCTGTAATCCCCCACCATCTTCTCGGTCAGTGAAGAGAGATCACAGGCACTCTGCTCCAATGCAGATGCAGTTAGAGCACATAAATCTAAAATGGCATTCATACCAGATTCATGCATGCATTTGTTGCAACAGTTAGTTATAAACAAGATGTAATCTGTTATGTAATGGCATGAGAAATCCATGGCATAGAAAATGGGCCCATAGCCAACCTATGATGCATTGAATAATGTCTCGAATCATGCGTATTGTTAAAGAATTGGAGTGAGTGTTAACTCGAAGTTAGAAAGAAAATGAAGATTAGGCATACCATTATAGTCATAGAGAGCACCCTTCTCGACAGTTCCCTGACGCACCTCAGTGGACGTCGTCGCATTGTCAACGTTTTGGAGCCACTCGACAAGGAAACGAACGCCAAACTCTTCAAACGAACCGCGCATCCATTGGGTGAGAACGGGTATATACGTGGTGGCCGTGGCACGTGAAGGCGGGGGTTTTCGAGGACGAAGTTTCGCGACGTCTACACTGGCGATTGACAGACTTGCCACTTCTACCTCATCCTCCCAAAATAGATTTCCCGCCAGAGCGAATTTCCGATTAACCAAGGCAGAAAAACCGCAATTGCATGAGCGTGTGGGAGCAGGGCTGGGCGTAGACACGTAGACGTCGATTTCCATGCCCAGTATAGAGGTGGCACACTCACAGATGTTGCAGGAGTCGAAGTTGTGGTCTTTGAAAAGGTTGAGGAGAGAATCGGAGAGGATGATGTTGACTTTGAGAGCATCACTGCCACGTAATTCATCGAGATCAAAATTGTTGGAATCGGGCTCGGTAGCGAGTGCAACATAATCGGCCTGACTGTGACCTCGAGAAGAGTGAGAATTAGGGCGCTGTGGAGGATGGGAGGATGAGAGGGGATGGAGTAGGCGGCGAGGTAGGTGCAGAAAAAGGCCATCGTACTGCCCATTCGTCGGTCCAGAAGCAGGCTCAAAGCCCAGAGTGGGCCGCAAAGTCATGTCCACCTCCCTATATTGGTGCAACTCCTCCGGTGTGAGTTTGAACTTAGCCGAAAATGGGATTTGCACCGAAGGTGGACACATGAACTGCCATTCCTGAAAATTCAGAAGCACATTCCACAGCAGGTGGTTTAAAAGATCACCAACAACCGTTTTCAACTTAGCATCTTAAGTCTATTTGTGAAACAGCACTAAGACCGCTTGCTTATTCAACTTGTCAACTTCACGTTTAAAAACTTCTGTTGAACACATGCAAGTGTAGCTAATTTAACACATTTTTCAATGCCTCACAATAAACAGTAATGACCATATACAAGGACTAAATCTAAAAAATACTACTTGGCAATTTACTTTGAAACGATGGGAGCATGTGCGTTGGAATACTTCATTTCAAATGGCAAATGCTCCGATTAAAAGACGAAATGTCAAGCTTGTGTGTGCTGTAGGACCGATGTATAAGAGGTAAAGACATCTATGGAAAGCTGATGAATCAACAAGTTGACAGATTAAGTAAGAATCAGGTGGAAGATGGGAACGGACTGACCCGATGGAAACAAACAATTTCCTGGTCGAAGAGAGGCCGCGCATTATGCAAGATGGACTGGACGATGGCATTGGTGAGACTTTGGTTTTGGCACAGATGTGCCTCTTCTTGATACGAGAAGTGCGTCTCACCGGGATGCAACAGCAGTGGCTTGACCTCAGTTGGGCTGGGCTGACAGGGACCACCACTGCCCACCGAGAGGGTTGTTTCGAGAGAGGACGGCGTGGGGTACATGACAGCCAACTCCGCAGGACCTAGATTACCCAAGCCGCTCGAGTTCAGGAGATTCCGACCGCTAGTCTGCATTTATAACGAAACATCCCTTTGGCAGTCCAGATTAAAGGCACTCGTCCAGTGGTATAAAATGCTATGATAAGAACATTCCTTAAGAACAAAAGATGGAGAATACTGGAAACTACCTACTTTTGTATTAAAGTAAGCGAGCCAATCAAAGTACTTAAGACCCCATATCTTCCCTAGGTGATACACAACTGCATGTTAAGATTCCCCGATTTTTTTACACAAAGCGTTTGAGTGGATAATAAAATGAAGAAAATAAATATCCAGCCACCCAATTACCGTTGCCAGCTTTAAACCAGTGTTAATGACAGACCAAAATTAGACATAAATTTAAACTGCTTTAATGAAAAAAGCATACATGGCGCATTTGGTTACGCATCGGACAAGAACCCTTCAAGGGACCCTCTGGTTTGAAATTTGGTCCGTAGAGTTCCTCTTCCAGTGTGTGATGAAAGCTCTCAAGAACATGAGAGTCATGAGTGTAGATATCTATTGATAGAAGTAAAACCAACTCCTTTGTGCCCTATTTCTCATTTCTCTATGCATCACTTTTGAATAATAACGATGGTATTTGATTTTACTAACGCATCACATGTAAGATAATCACTCAAACACCTAACCTTTGTCTCGAACAAATAATTAGCACTTAAAACTAACGGAGATATAACGCTTGTTTCCATTAGCTAGACGATTAAAATAAATTGCCCATGGCATTCGCTTGACTTCCTAATCAAGGTACACTACTTGATTACCAATAATTCTTTTGCTAACTAAAAAACTACAGCCATTATATAGTGGACATGGTTATGGTGAACAGATTACAAGCTAAGTGTTTTACATTTCACGATACCAAGAAAAAATCGACTAACGAGATGATGAAAGATTAAATCACAGCTCCAAGACGCACGAAAGAAGGCACAAACCTAAATCTTTGGTTGAGTAAGGCTGGTCCTGTTTGTAGCAGGGGTGAAAGGCTCGATAAAAATGGTGCCGCTGTTGTTGGAAAACTTGGGAGTCGTTATTGAGACCGTACGCGTCCATAATGACACCAATGGTGCCCCCATACTGATGACCACTTGGCATTTGCGAGTGACAGTGATGCCTTGGCTGACGTCTGTTCCAACAGTAACATTGAAAAACCATTAAATGCGCGCATTTACAAAACAAATCCAAAAAAACAAAGGGTAGGCTGGTATGTCACAAAAATCAGGCGGAAAGGGTTTCGGTAGTCAAAGCACCATAAATTGAGTTTCTTCTCTAAACCCAACAAAAGAATTCACGACCAAGCAAATGTGGTGAGATGTCGGACTCACATAAATTCATCGCCAAAAGAGGTGGAGGAGTGTTCAAGAAAATTTACTTGGTCTAGGTAACTCAAGTGGATTATGGGAGGTCGACGACATTGGTAAACCACCTGTCTGGCGAGCCACGACGTCTCACTGCCTCTTGCTTCGGACTTCACAGTCAAAGGCAGGAGAGGTTTCGCCTGTTGCGTAGGAGCCTGAGGGATTCGCACCACGCACCGGGGAAGCTTGAAAAAGGCGAATTCGTGTAGATCGTGTTTTCAACGTGAGTTTGCTTTTGGTCCAAAATTGGTAAAAATGGCATTGTGCCTACCTCTCAAAACACTATTCTCGCCTATTTTGGGAACTAGTATAACAAGTCTACACAATAAGCCCGTTTTACCGTTTCGGTGACAAAATTTATCAAAGGTATACCATATCAGCTGCAGCAACATCAAATTACAATACATCAAAAGTTTTTAGCTTGATTATTAATTTGTAAAGTATTATAGACAAGATCGGCAATGGCATGGTTTTATTACTGATATTAAATCAAGCAACACTAAATAGTGAGTTAAAATTTACCTTAGAAGTAATAGGGGAAACGTGTGTCTCATCCCAATCCATAGGTTTAGGCTTTGAATGAGTAGAGCCACTCTCCTTTGGGTTCATCAGCTGGGAGTTAAATAAGTATGTTGGTTTCACCGCACCCACATGATGAGCTGCCTGAAGACTCGAAACGGCCACAGCAGCACCAACTGAGGCGGAATGACTGTCACTGACTGCAGTTGATACACCTCCAACACCAAATGTGACTGCGTTATAGGGCTGTGGACTCAATTTTGGCATCAGGGGATCGGTTGAGGAAGGTTGACGTCTTAGTCCTGAAAGAGGCGCATCACTACTGCTACCACCGCCGTTCCCCAAAGACGTATCGATTTCAGAAATAAAGGGGCAAAGCATTCGTGATACGGAGCCAGAACGCCGATGCAGTGGTAGGAGGATTTGCGGACTGGAAAAGGCAAATTATGGCACTTCTAAAGCTGCAGTGGTATCCAGTGAGAAAAAAAATAAGCTGACCTAATGAGCATTAACCTTATGTGTAGATTGATAGAGGTAGTCCTTCACTGAGGTTATTTACGGTACAGGTAATGAAAATCAAGCTAAAATTAACATGTCTCGTGAATAAGCTGAACAAATACAAAAAATAAATAATCCTGGTGCGTCTGTCTGTGAAACGTGCTACAGAACCAAGGATCACATACCGAAAGACTATGCACTTAGCACACGAACACTACAGATTGCAACACAATGCCACTCGATTGAGAGTAACATTCTTAGAGTGTAGAAATGAAACCCAATGCATAAAAATTATACGATTTCTTTCCTAAATTACTAATACTTTCCGATTCAGCCTACACTAAATGAAAATGCAAGAATTCGGAACGATGCCTTACAGAAGTACCAATTATAAAATGACATTAAGACGTCAGCAGGTCTGTAAAAACGTAGAATACACCTACCTCTTAGCCTCTGGGTTAGTTTTAAAGACGGTGTCATCAACCGTGGCCTGAGTAAGAAGCCGAGACCTTATGTGAAGACAGTCTAGTTCAGGTAAAAGAGATCTTTCGAATCGCAATGCTCGTTGAAGTGCTCTAGTGGCCAAGTAGAGTCGTCGTTTGGTGCTGGGCAGTTGCCTTAGCGGAAGTCGAGGATGCGGAAAACCGTACGATTCAGAGGTAAACTGTCTGGATTTGAGCGGCAGTGTCAACCGCCTGTCTGAACCATCCTGCAAATGCTCCGTCAGGGACGTGAGCTTATCCTCAGCTATTAAAACGAAGCATGTTGGGTATCGCACTCTAAAGCCACCTATTTTTAACAAAGGAATAACGATTATACAAACTCATGAATTTTGCATGTAAAACGAGAAAATGTGAGCAAAAACCTACCAATGAGAACATTAACAAACTCTGGAAGCTGTTCAGTAGAACCAGCTGAGGATCTTTTCGAAAAAACATCCGATCTGGAACCCTGCGGCTGTTGTTGAGCGGGAGACGATTTGTTCGGTGTTAAGAAGTCCAGGTAAAAGGAGTTGCGATGAGCACTAGAGTTCGGATGGCTATAGTTCTCCCCGGGAGACCGCATCGGAAAAAAGCGTTTCCAAGATTCCAATTCCTTATCAACGAATCCGTCGTTCGTGTAAGCGTGAGACGGGACAACGAGATGAGCAGTGATTCCGTAAGGGGCCAACACAACTAAAAGTGGGCCAAATATGGGTTACCTCGATTAAATAAATAAAGATGAGTGCGACTAGTGCGTACCATTAAATCGACCTCCAGATTTCTCACAAAATGACAATATTCGAGACGTGAGAGATTTAAATTTGGGAAAGCGTCGAATATCCAAACTGGCACAAACAGTGCTTTCACCGTGTAGAAAAAATGAAAAGTTGATGCTATATTGGGTTCTGAAGAAGAAGTAGCAAAAGGGAGAACATCATACTTATCACGAATCGACTGGCTGTTACAAGGCTGAAGAAACCATTTCCCCAAACGAACATACCCTTTTTTCAAAAGGTACCTAAAAGATATGTTAAATGACCACCACTTACCTTTCTATCACATTGTGCAATGCCTTGAACAGAACACAGCGCGTTTCATAGGTGAGCCCATTACCCCAATTTCCCGATGAACTTTCCTCCAAATCGGAAGAAATAAGACGATCTCTCGATCTTGTACATGGGTCATCACTTCCGTACCAAAAGACCCAGAGTTCCTTCGAAAAGTTTGAGAAAATGTCCGGTTTGTGTGGTTCTGTACTAGCACGTTTTCGTCGGACCCAAGCGCACATCAAATTTTCCCGCAAACAGTTATTGTACGCCGAAAGTAAAGGATCATCATATACCGAATAATTTCTATCGTCTTTTGGCCTATAAACACGATAGTGTATCCCACTAAGATCCGTCTAAAAGTAGACATGAAAACGACATACCCAAATAAGGAATTAAGACAAATTAACCAATAACTTACAAGTGCAAAAATATTCGTGTGACTATCCTCCAAAGATCTGCCGTCCAACCTAGGATACTGGTCAGTCATATACATTTTGATATTATATGTCTGTGAGCAAAAAAGTCTGACTAAGTACGAGAAAACGAAGCCCAGAAGCTCGAATGGCCGAAACCGCCATTTAAATTAGTAGAATAACCCACTAACACAGATACAGTGCACAAGCCAATCAAGTGTATAGCCGAATTGGAGACACAGTATTATCAGTATCTATCATCTCGTTACATTGTTCAAACCACTTTATTTTGGTAGACTGGTCTGCTACTGACAAAGTAAACGCCTTATTTTAAATGATTTTTTGCCTAATAGCAGAAATTTTTTTGCAAAGGTACTGGTCAACTACTTTATTAGCACTACTCGTTCGAGGTAACGCGAAGGCCAAGCTTGTATTCCGCCTTTGGGAGCCGTTGGTGCGTTTGTTTCTATCCTCGTCCTTTGTGATTCCGTGAGGTCATCTGCTACAAAGTTAATGATTTAGCCCAAACACTATTAGTTTCGAATAAGTTTTAGTTGGATTATGCTTAGGATTCACAATATATGACTTATTAAGGTTCTGGTAGTATTTGTGGTTGAGATGGGTTGCTTTCACTGGAGGTATTGCTGTACTTTATACTTTTTTTCTTATTACGACCTTCCATACGAGGTCAAAATTTATGAGTAAAGGAAGACATCGTAGATTCTGGTGTCTTTTGTTCTGCTTATTGGGAAAATCTGTTTGAAGTTGTTTTAGATCTAGTGTGTTCATCAAAATTAGCGTAAGTACCTACATGGTCCACCCATGTATGGATGCAATATTCCGACCCAGTTTTTGAGTCAGCATGTTTAAGCTTTTGAGATATGTGTTTTCTGAGAAGGGCTTCCTTTCACCCGGCAGGCTTTACCACATTGCTCCCCTTATCGGGGACTTCTATTTGTTTATAGCCATGATGTTAGTCAAAAGATCTTAGTTGCTATGAGCCCGTTTCCCATTGCAGTTCTGTCTTTATATTTCATTGTTGGTACATCCGAATGTAAATTACCTTATTCTATTTTGAATTCGATTCAGTTTCTCGCGGTTTGACTTTATTCTGTCGAAATGAATTCTCCGGGGCTATCGGGAACCGGAAATGAGTCTTTCTTCAGCAAACTTGAAACTCTTCGCAGCAGAAATAAGAAAAAATCAAAGAAGGAAGTTGAAGACCTGGCTGCGGAGGGCCGAAAGGCCATGGAGTCAGCCCTTTGTTCACTGGCAGTAGAAGACCCAGAGAACTACATGTTGGAAGAGGGTCAAGAGCGTTCGATAATCGAACGAGCTTCCATGGAGTCCATGGAAGTGAAGGAGCTTGTTGCATCTCTAATCTCCTGGATAAACGATGAACTTATCAATCATCGTATTCTTGTCCGAAACATTTCTGATGACCTCTACGATGGGCAAATTTTGCAGAATTTGGCGGAAAAACTGGCAAACATTAAATTAGAATATCCGGAGGTCACTCAGTCCGAGTTTGGCCAAATGCAGCGTCTAAAGGAGGTTGTTGCTACCATCAATCAAATACTTGGCGTTCCAGAGAGTTGGGCAAAGGACCAGTGGTCTGCAGAAATGATTCACGATAAGGACGTCATAGCCATCATTCGTCTCCTTGTTGCCCTTGCTAAACACTTCAAGGTGGGCATTCGCCTTGCTGATGGAGTATTTCTTACCGTTATTGTTGTCAGGAAGATTAACGGTATTCTCGAATACAGGTATGAACGCAAGTACTTGACGGAACCGTCGCAATCCGTCCCCGGTATGTGCCTAAGGAAGTCGTCAAATTACTTATCTCTTAATTAATATTACGGTTATTTGCTTAACCGCATTATTTAGATTTGGGACCTTCATCTCATCCATTGGATTACCTCCCCAATCGCCATCTCGTCCCAAGGTTAATCACTTGTTTTGTTAATGAACATCTACAGAAATTGAATCTTCAGGTCAAGGATCTTACGCATGATGTAAGTTGCACATTCCGTATTAATGTCTTACGAACGCTAGTGTAAATGCATGGTTAACTATTTTATGTCCACATGCCCTGCCCGTACACAATATGGAAGTTGCGAAGGTTAGAATGCATTACTGCATGCTTTTAAGAATGTCTCCTGCTCCTCGTGACCAAAGCTGATTCTTTTCTAAAGAAAACTGAAATCAAGATAGAAATGAAGTACCTTTAGTTCCTAAAAATGTGCAGTTCTCGGACGGGGTGCGGCTAATCCTCTTGATGGGTCTGCTGGAGGGATACTTTGTGCCTCTTCATTGCTACCATCTGCACCCGACAACGGACTCGATGCGGCTGGCTAACGTGCGCCTTGCCTTTGAGCTGATGCGCGTGGCGGAGCTATCTGAACCGCTGGAGCGTCCTGAGGACATTATACTGGGTGACACGAAGGCCGTTTTGCGCCTCCTTTACGGCCTCGTCTCGCACTACCAGTACGCGCATGGAGGGGGCGATGCCTTTGCCGACTTGCAGAAGATCACCGAAGATGAGGCACTTGATCGATCCCCTGAATTCACCGCCTGATTTTCTTCTGTCCTTACCATTTCATACCCACAAATTGTCATCCATTTTTCTTCCACTTCTACATTACGAGTTGCCAAATAGTCTTTGAAACTGCGATACGATATCGGTACTTTGCATTCCTTGTTAATCCCCTTCCCTTGATTTTTCGCTCCTCCGTAAATGGTGTGCTTTAGGTCTTGCTGACTCCATAACTATTCGTCAAGTCTCCCAGTGAAGGGGGTCGCATATTTTTTGTTAAATTCACCTCTACAACAATTTACACTTAGCAACTTTCCCCATTCTAATTTTACAAAAAGTTGCTTTTATTTAGCACTGCTCCCAAGCCAATTTCGCGATGGACAACGGAGCTTCATTCCTTATTAACCGTTATCCGTAAAAATATACGTAACGCTGACACGACTAGTGACTGTCGCATGTCTTATTAAGTTGAGCTAGTATGTTTCTATGCCAGTTTGTGCTGATTGCCATAAGATTGGCGAGTGGTTTGATTTCCACAAAGATTAGTTTTGGTTTTGGGCGCTGGATAAGTTATGTAAGCAAGCCTTCTGAGCAATGAATCCAAATTCTTAATTTACGACGAAAGAAGTCGGTAAGTTGGAGGAGCAGAGTCGCGTCGCGTTTCTCTTTAAGTTTGTGGTGACACGTTTTGAAAGCGGGGAAGAGTTACCTAATCTGCTTTGCTCGAACTCGGATGTGAAGACAATTCTTAAAAAATTGGCATAACTTTTTGCGGGTTAAAAGGTGGGGAGCTTTTAAAAGTCTAACTTAATGAAGTTTTAATGGTTAGGTTGGGTTATCAACCATTTTCTAATGCGAAACTATATTGTTCAACTTTTTGGGAAGTCTCGAATACTTTGTTGTGATCATCAGCTGATTAGCGAAGGTGGGATTATTTTGAAGATGTTATACCGAATTCTGCATATGCAGGGATGCACGGCAACGTAAATCGAGTTCTAGGTTTGCCGCGTCAGTTGAAGCATTCATTTTATTGCACGAATGTCATCCATAAATAGGCAACAAATTATTTTTGCACGAATCATCCCCAGTAAAGATCCTATCTGAATTGTTATTTTGCATCTGGAATTACCTTGAGTATACAGGCAAAAGGGACCTTCCCGTCGTATTCCCACATTATTACATAAATTCACATTTTTAAATTACAAGTCCAGTTTCCGTGCACCCAGATTGACTGTGAAGGGGCTTTGGAAGACCTGTTAGAATTAGCTTCACAAAAAGCGAAGCACTAGGCTAGTACCAAACTGAGTAACTCCTGATGATAAGTTTTTACAGCATATTTTGCTGTACTGATCGAAGAAGTTTGACAAAATGCAAACTTTACTACTTCATTCTACCCTCATTTATGATTCTTGGGCTCAGTGCTGCTCGCAGCACACCCTTTTTGTGTTCTACATTTATAAACTACGAATTGTTTGCATAGAACGCACTACCTTAGGCGAAATATAACCCATATTTCCAGCAGAAACAATTTTAAGTCGCATTAAATCGGCGAAACCCTGAAATAAGTGGTACAATGCAACCCAGAGATGCTTAAAATCCGGAGTTTACGCTGCTAGGAGCAGTTTCCAAAGAACACCAAGTTTTTTTCTAGGTTATTTGGGAGTAATACTTAGGTAATATTCAACCCTAGGTGATTGTCTCTCTCGTTTTCGGCGCAAACAAATAGTCGCAGTGATAACTCAACAGCAGCGCAACGGATCCGGTGGTGGGAACTATGTGTTCGAACATTATTGACAACGGAAGCAGAGTTAAACAGCTACTACCTCGAACTTCTGTTTACATTAATCCAGGCCGAAATTGAGGCTCATCTCCGTTGATTGACATATCTCATCTTCGTTGAACAGTGTTTTTTTTAACCACTTTACTGTTAAATGTGCGTTTCCATTTGCCTAGTCTCTTTGAACTGAGAGATAATAGCATTTGTTTGGTTGAATTTTTGAATTTTGCGCCTATCCATATTTACGACTTCGAATATAACCACTTTTTCTGTTCAACAATAGGGTCTTAAACTTATACTTATTTTAAAACTTTATATTTCGAAATCATCGTTTGGAAATTACAAAAGTAAACAAAATTAATTTATAAAATGCGCCTAATTGTAACTAACTGCGCACTCATTCGCAAGAAATGCACTCACATCATTAGAAGACCCTTGGAGGAAAAGTTGTTAAATGTGTGCAGCTATGTAAAGAAAAGAGCAAGAAAATTGGAGTTATAAAAAGTTCTGCACAACATATGTCGAGATGCAAGTTGCAAGGTAAAATACACGACACTCCAGTGGCAGTGATATTCAATCCATGGTAAAGAAAAAGGTCTTCCGTCTCAAAGAATACTTCGATTCATTTCAAGAGGTAGGTTTTGCCGACAGATACAAACCCGTTATGCTAATCTCATAGTATCTTCTGAGACTGCTGCAGCTTTATCCACCTGAATTTTGCCGGTTATGCATATTTCCAATTTAGGTCTTTAAAAGCAGTGCCTGATTGACAACAAAAAATTATGGATAGTGAATGGCTATAAGTTCAATGTGTTCGTGATAATGTAGGCGGTTTTATTTGGGGCTTTTCAGTCAGCCATAACGAAAACTTCAATTTTGTCTCCACATTTCATGCCAATGGGCAGTACTAGCCAATCCATTAATTGGAAATCGTTTTATTTACCCTCTGACAGGGCCATTCTTTCACTACCTAAATTCGATAGGACCAATGTTATTGTTTAGTGCTTTGCGTAAACTATCTGCAGTTCATTCTAAGCACATGTACCAACTTACTAATCTAAACATGGTACTGACTCCACCCTATTTTGCATTGCCTTTTCGAAACATATCTGATCCATTCAGACATGTTAAAAGCTGATTTTCCCTTTATACTAGCATTTTAATTTATATGAAGCTCACTCGTAGTTGTTCCATCATTCTGGTTGTATTACGCACACCCTTTTATTAGCAGGTATTGTTTGGTGGAGAAAGCAAATGATACTCCGCGCAGTTCAATAATTTATTGGCATTAATCAAATCCTAGCGACAAAGTCGGAGAGAAGACACCTGAGCTTACATTCTCAGGCAATAAAAATGTATCCAAAATGTTTTAAAACCCCTAGAAGTGTTAATTCGAGGGTCTCAAAAATCATGTGTTAGGATTGCAATATCGACTATCGGCACTTTTGACAAATTTAGAAGTTTCACCTTATTTAAGAGCCAAAAATTACGTAATCTTGTTTACTGTAAATGCAGAGAACTGTTGGTTTTATAAAGTTTCAACGGAAAAATAAGTCGTTCATGCAAATCTGGTCAGTTTTTTTCAAATTTACATGGATTTTGTTCTAAAGTTGCTGAAATGTCTGTTTACTTACCCCTTTGAATAAGTAATTTAGTATTATTTACGCTTTTGAGCGTTTAAACTCGCAGCAGGACCTCAAGTATAGCCCGCTCCGTGGAGCATTAAAAACCGAAGCACCGAATCGCTTTCCTCCACTCATACTAAGCTAGCATACTTCTCTTTGTGCACGTAAAAAATATTTCATGAGTAAAGTGTAAGTTTAAATAAAACAAACTAAAATACCGAAGCACCCATAACTGGTCACGTTAACCCATCATCGAACGGGGTGTTTTAAGGTTGTTCCATGCGTTTTTTCAATCGGGTCTAAAATCCGCTCACCTCGACTTGAAGCTTTAATATTAGTTTTGTTTTAAAATTACCTTGGAAAAATGAATCACAGCACCTGCATATCGGCGTTCTTGAAATAATGACTGACCTGCAATCCTACTACGAAATTTACCTTAAACGAAAAGATTATTTTAATCTATTCTCAAAAAATATTCACTTAGAAATGGGACAAAGTTACACTTAAACATTGCAGTTTTTCAAGTTTCCTTAAAAAGTGTCTCAAGCCACTCATGTAACACAAAAATTTATGGTTCATTTCTTTTTCGGTTTGTATATTTCTACTTCTTCACAAGGACACCCCAATTATTACGCTTGAAAAAACACGAGAACGGCATTGCTTCAATGTTAGAATAAGGTCGCACTTTCTGGACAAAGTTACTTTTAGAAAAGAGCAATTTATTACGTTTACAGCTCCTCAAAGTGACCGTTAAAAGCCATAAAGTATATTTGCAATGTTTCATGAAGTCCCTCTAACTGCTTAAAGTACTATCAAGTCTCTGAAGCAAACGTCAAACGACATGTAGTACGCTTACTGGCCTTTTTCATTAGTTAAAATGGAAAGTGGTGTATCGAAATTGATTCAATGCAACGGCGAAAGTGGTCCACGAAATTGGTTGCTCAAATGGTGCCACAGGCAAAGGGAAACCCTTTGTTTTTTAATTTGAAAAGACAACTAACCAGATCGGTTTTGGCGTCTCGCAGTAGCATTTGAGAGAATCGTTCTACCACTTTAATAGCGAGGGTATGAAGTTTTCTCAAGATTAGCATATTATGCAGAAATTCAAATTATCACCTTTTTTACTACAAATCAACCTGTTCTCCCATCTTATTTCAAGGTTCTGCAAAGTTTTCCCATATACAGCGAAAAAGAGGGATTTTTTGAATAAATTTGGCTTTTTCATTTTTGTGTCCGCAGGCCTACGATATATCAACGACCGACAGCTAAACTGAAGATATAACAATTTGATGGCAAATTTTCCAAGGGATAAGCGGTTAATGATATGAGGTGCCCAATAGTAAACTTGTAATTAATTACCTGATGTGTAGGCTGTTCAGGAAATTAATATATTGACGTTGTTTTGGGTATGTCAAGCCTTTTTGAAGATGATAGGACTTCTCCATATTCTTGGGAGTTTACATAATGTACTGAAGACTTTATTTGTACGAATTTGTAAGATGTTAAAATGCAAATGCCAGAAATGAAACTGCAGTCTTGCTTGTTTAACTTGGAATATCATTTACCACTACTTCCCTAATGCTTTGGCGAGATCGCGCTTGATGGTTAGCTAATTTTCTCTCAAGAACTGACATTATTTATTCGTCTAGGTGACGGAACTAGTCTAATAAGTGTAAGGAGTTTTATTAAACAGTGGGTAAACCAGTAACGCTGGTTAGTTGTCGAAGGGAAAACGGCGAATTTTTCAGACAAGGTGCATTCTTTCGATCATTGCTCCAAGCTTCGTTTTGCCGCAGTGCTTACTGCAATCGCTTAAGCCGAAATGACTTTTGTGTTTCATGTACATAATTTTGGTGAAAAACGTAGCAGACATCCTTGGTCAAACTTGTTTATCTACAGCAGGTAGAACTTCCTTCCAATAAATGAACTGAAATGCTGTACGTCCTCGCCTCCCGTCGCCGTATTTACCTAACTAACGTCGTAGAAGTGTTTAAGGCGTAGGGAAAGTTTTGAAGTGTCTGGTTTCATGACAAAAAATTGGTCTGTAGCCGACTGCTAGTGTGATTCTGGGCTAGGACTTGTTAGGCGTACTGAACATGGGATAAGTGCGTAGTAACCTTTTTGTAGCGAAGCCAATCTTCTCACTTCAGCTTGTATTTTCAGATGTATTTACCAAAACACACCTTTTTCATTAATCTCAAGCTGGTATTTGCCACGTACAAAGTTATTGCGCGGACCTCTACATTTTTTACACGAAAATTCAAGTGTTCTTTATGCTCTGATAAATTATTCCAAATGGAAATCTGCTGGTAAGCTATTTTTGTGTTACCGTTAAAAACAAGTTGCCTTGTTGCTTAGTCAGCACAGTGTGACACTAATCAACCCAGAGTGGCAGCTTACGTAACCACCACGGTGGTTGTTATTGTAATGTGACGAAACCCTTTATGTAGTTGACCAGAGTGCCAGGCATTTGCTTAAACTCATTTCTTTTCTCCACCTCCCATTTTTTGATCCTCCAATGGAAAGGAAGACAGTACGGCATCACGTTAATCTCGAGTCACCTCTAGGTGTAAAGTAAAAGTTTCTAGTGCTTTTTTCAATTCTAGGTAACTTCAAAACCATAAAATGTCAATGATGTATCTGCCCCTGGCAAAAATAAGTAAATAGCGCAGAAAATAACCGGAGGAGAGCGCTGATTGTAGGCCTATTAAACAAGTACTTGGTTTCTAAATCCATTTTATCTGATAAATCCAGTATCTTCTCTATTTTATTCGATGTGGAAATAATATTCTGATTTTTGACTTGTGCGGAAGTACTATAGTTACAAAGGTGAAATGAACCTACTTTACGACAGCTTTGCTTTTGAAAATACGCGAATGTGAAGTATTACATTATACAGCTTACGGGTGGACTGCTGTAGCACGAAACAATATTCTAAGCTTCTGCTTTAAATATGTAAGCTTGTTTTTTAGTGCAAATCATTACGAATTTCACAAAATGTCGAGTTCATTAGTGCAGCAAGCATTTCAAGTAACCTTGACCTTAATCGGATGTGCACACTTTGTTTCCAGGAGGCTATTCACCATGGGTGATTTCACAAACTAGCTGCAAAATTGTTTTCATCGACTTTATGCAAACCTGATTTGACCTCCTATCTTTTCTCCAATGATGCAAGCACGGAACCAACTCCAGACCGTAACTGTACTTTGCTTCAACATGAGTTTAACTTTTGTAAGGTTCTCGTTTTGGAGTGTCTTATGACGGGAGGCCACCCGAGACGAAAAGAGAAGCCCCACTTTGTAACCGAAATGATTAGTCACTGAGTCTTTAAATATTACTTGAGAGATTATTTTGTTAGTTTTCATTTTACTCGGAAAAAAACACGTTCCGAAAGTAAGACTATTAATATTTCTTTTTTGTTTACAAATTCCATAATAGCAGGTTGGGTAACTCTGACCCACCTTGTCTGGTGTGCCCTATTTCCGTTTACTTAATCTACGTCGTCTTTCAAAGATCTGTAGAGTAGTTTGGAGTCCCCACAGAACCTGCAACAGTGCGACCTGCATAATTTGTTTTTATTGCAATCAAATCTTTGGCGCCTTCTTTAAGGATGTATTTAAGATTACTCAAATTAGCACAATGCTTGTGCTGCATGAAGTTGTATTTATCCCTTCGGGCATCCATACTTGAGCTCATTCCTATGATGTAGAAAATAAAATCCTCACATTGGCATCTATGACTGCCGCACTGTTTACCTTGCCCCTTCTGTGACCTAATATTTACTTAACCACACACCCGAAAATAAGCAAGCACCAGGATATCACTAGGCTAATATCAATATTTAATCCACTAAAAAGCTTAGGGTGAATATACCGCTTTTTGCATTTTATTTCATACTGCAGTTCGGAGGGTTGCCTCCATTCTCAAAATGAATTTGGAATTCAACGGAAAATAAGTAATTTTGGTCCCCTATCAATGAAGATCGTTTGTCGTTTTTGACATGTTAAAAACAATTCTAATCTGTATGTATCTAGACAAAAGGAGTGGTTTCGAATAATATTCTCACATCGTTTTAAAATATTAAATTTCTTTCATATTTTGATGAATGAAACCGAAACTTTATATGAATTTTTAAGGAGTTTGATATTAATCATAAGCATTTATATTTGCGAGAAGATTCACTATAAATAGCTGGAATCAAGTGACTAGGGGAAAGTGTCGGAATCCTCCGAAAATTCACCTCAAGTAACTATTAAAGCGTATCACGTAAGTTTTAATTTTTTTGTTTCAGCTAAGATATACCACTCAAAGCTAGATAAATCACATAATAGGTATATTTTTGTTTGCCAGACTCGTGATAACAGGAAAGTAGTCCCTAAAAACGCATAGTTATTGTAATAGACCCCCACAGAAGTGAAGTAACACGGGTGCTAGAATTCGTATAGGCAGCGTGCAAAGTAATTTGTCATTATTCTGTTGTCGCCCGTCCTCTCTTGTCCCCCGTATTCCTCCAGTACAAGTGGGTAGGGAGGTGTGCTTTTTTCATTGCCATGTTTATCTTCCTTCGGGTTTCTGCCTTCTTAGGCAGAGCCTTTAGTCATTCCCTTCAATAAGTATTAATCTCGAACGCACCTTTAGCTTTATTTTTTTCCTTCCTGCACCTTCTCTGGCTCCTTTAGAACCATCTAAGGATGTATGGAGGGCACCGTCCACTTCTAAAACTATAATATATCAATTACCACATTCGGTCAAGTGACTTATAGACAATGGAGACTTGCATCCTCTAAGTAGATTCAGGGCTCGTGAGGAATATAACCTGTGAGTATTTATTGTAAAAGCCAATTGTAGTTGAGGTGACGCTTTCATTAGAGCAGGTAAGTACTTTAGATAGTGAAGATCTAACGGTTACAGCAATGCATAATACCAATGTACAGGGCTATGCGAAATCCATCTGTATCTTTGACAGTCTATCACCCGTAAATAGGGTTAAATTTAATCATCAAGATCGACAACCACTTCTGTCCAAAATTCTGACTTAAGTAATTACTATATTTCTGGTTAAAATCCACAGCGCTGATTAAAGACGTCAGTTAACTTATTGTCGGCCGATTTATGGCAGCATTGATGCTTGAGCTGGTATTCAATTTCCAATTTTCCTTTAAATATTTTCAAAAATTCGTTTTCATATTCAAGGACAATTGAACCGAAGGTGGGATACTATAATGTGGGTGGGCTGAAGCTGGAATCACTAAGGTGTAAAGGACAGTTACCATTCATACTAGCATAATTATTTTGGTTTTCACTTCAGCATAACCAAAACCCTGTATTTGCTTAAATTTTTAATCAATCTTCTTTTTATTCATTTTGCACTTGTGCTATAGACCATGTTCACAATTTTACTTTACACTCGTGTAGTTTGTATCCATGCGAGGTCAGTTAATAAATGGCAAACTGTGGTCATTGCTTATTTAAGTAAGATTTGTCTATCAACATCCCTTCGGAGGTGTTTAGGCTGTGCGGAAGCAACTTAAAAGGACCTTCACTGACCAGAGCATCTGGGATGCTATTATTGCCAACTCACCATTTCCACAGCTTAGCGAATGCGAACGGCGTTTACGATTCTGAACTGAAGGATAACAGATTCATGCGCATGTTTAATGAATGAATTTGAGATACGTAGAGGTTTGCTTCTCCCAAACCTAAATTTTATTTGGAAATCCAAATTTCCCGAACCCAAACATCTAAACCTTTAATTTTTAAATTTGGAAGTCAAATTTACTGCATGTGGAATTAGAAATAACCTGTTGAAGGCACTACCAAAGGTTCACTTCTGCAAGCCAGAATTGTCAAGGTGCCAAGTGATCTCGTAAATGCATTTTCGCCCCAATTCATTTCACTCACATACATTCGAACTTGCACCTTTCGCCAGTACATTTGAGATGAGACTGATGCTCCGACAAACATGTAATCTGTAACTGCCGCATTTTTGAATACTTTCTTATTTGAGTTTCAAATAAAAAATACTTCATCCCCGTTCTAGTGCCCGCGATTAAGTAAACGCGCTCAACGTGAATGGCAATTAAAAAGACTTTTCAAGGGTATGCCGGACGATTTAACGGTTTTTCAACTCCCAAAACTGGAGTTGCATTTTTGTCACACGTTAGCCGATATTTCGTTGCGGGTGGTTGATGTCTTTTGGTCGCCTAAAGAGGGCGATTAATCACCCAACTTGCCAAATCTAAGCCGTCTCCAGGATGAGTCAAGCGCTTTGTGACTGCGGCCGCATTTTCATCATTTTAGTACCTGCATAAAATGTAGTGGTCCAAGACGTGCGGTCAAAGTAATTTGCGCAGGGGTCGTGTGGTTACCATTGCCCCTGTATAATGCTTACGTTTGGGCCAGTCATGAAGTTGAGCGGGGGTGAGGTGATGCCGAAAGCATCGGTAATGATGGTGCTTTCCCATAAGGTTTTACAAGCAACCTTTTAATGGTACTTGGGCCTTTCTTCCCTCAAAATTACTGGCTGTTGGATTCGACCTCTTTCCAAAGGCCCACATCAAAGAGTCGATCCTTTTTCACTTTGACATCATTTGTATCTCATCAGACTAACTATTGAAAAATTAAATATTGCTCATTGCCACTCGACAAGCCGTCAGTGGACCACCAGTCTAGTCATCTGTGTCGAACTGGGTGGACAGCATTCCGAACATCGAACTGTGCATGTGGCGGTTGAAGCTGCAGCGATAACGACGGCAGGTACCCTCTTACGGTATGTTTGAATATCTCGTATCAGTAAGCGATAGCACCTCGCTAATCTTCAACGCTGCCCACTCCTGGCCATCACGAGTACGATTCCTTGTGAAGGAATACGGGGTGCCCTGTAAGTTAATATAGCTCAGTTCAAAGAGTGGGAAATATTCCTTATTCCCTCACCCATAAATGTGGTCTATTTATTTATACATTACAAATCATCCCTAAACAAATTGCCCTGACTGGAGCAGGTGCGACAACGGTGAGTCACTGTCGCAGCGATGAGTCAAATCCGACTTCGATGAGTTCCACTTGTGTAAACGGTCTTTTCAACCCGGCCTCATGGCGGACACTCACTGAGTGCTCCAGAAAGTAGTGCCGATAGCGAACAATGAAAGGTATAGTGCAGCTGTGGTTAGTAGCCGAGGTTACTCAGTTCCGTGGTATGATTGCAGATCATCATTTATTTAATTTCACTTAACCTTTTGTATTTTGCAGAAACCATTAGCTCCCAAAAGGTGACTTAAAGGAGTGGCTTCTTTTCCCATGTAAGAGAATTTCATTGCAGTGACTCCTATCACAAAAACATCTGTAACCTAACTGTACTAAATATTACGTAATTGTAAAATATGTGCACATCTTCATTATTAGTATTACATTTACTGCTGCGTAGTTGTAGTCGCATTAATATCGCCATCAGACATTCATTATCTAACCTGTACGCAGTAGAAGTGAACATTTGGTAAAATATTTATGCGACCGATACACTACACTCAAATTACGGTCGGAACACCACCCAAAACTGATTGGAATTTGTTTTGGCTGAAGCGATCTAACACTATGGAATCATGCCAACTTTGTTATTTCCACATCTCCAAAATGAACGTTATACTACCGCAACTAGAGCACGAAATTTTGGTACCTTGAATTATCGGGTCTAGGCTCCTACCGCATCCCAGTGAGATTTGCAATAAAGTCTAAGACATGGCATTCGTTAGGCGAAAAAAGCCTAACGATTAAGGCCCTTCGTTCTTGTTTAAATAAAGGCGAGTGGAATGTGGTGAAACCTCCAACAGTACTGCAATCTCAGTTTTAACCTATTGAAGCCCCAAAAATGTGTTCGCTAAATATCATGCGCCGTCGGCATGTCAAAAGTCCGTGGGATAAATTAGTTTGTGAACGATTCTATAAAATACTTTGCCAAAATACAACAGCACAGTAGGTTTGCCACCTAAAAGACTGGAAAGAGGCTCAGGTCTAACCAACCTTGCTATAACACGCAACGCACGCTTAGAACCACGACGAATAGCACAGTTTAATGAATGAATTGGATTTTCTCCACGATCCCTTGTTAAAGCTAGGTTACTTGTCTGAAGGTTCCACTTTATGGACGAGAAACTAACTACTGTGGTGAAAAGTGATCCCAACATTTGATTCTTTACCTTATTATTAGCATAGAATCAAGACAACCCTCTATGCACACTCTCAACATTACGATGCCAGTGGTCCTAAGGTGGCAAAAAATAAGACATTTGATCACTCACTAGGTTGGTATTTTTATCGTGGTTTTATATGATGCTTCCAAAACACATTAGTTTGTTTACTTTGATAGAATTTGCAAAAAGAAAGTAAATTCTTTGAAAACTAGGTAACAAAGTAGACTACACATATCGGGGATCGGTGATTGAAAAGATACTTAAAAGACCCCGTCCCATACTGACATACCAAGGCTTAACTAACTTGGTAGGCTTTAGCTTTTCATACCCCACAATTCCGCATGCGTCGTTCTGTAGCAGACTGACTAGGCAACGTGAGACGAGGGTGATTATTCCCTGGTGTACCCCGACACATCATCGTCTGGAAGCATTACATGGCACCTTTCAAAGGCAAAACGTTGCTGATCAGCTATTGCACACTTTAAATATGCTTACCATTCACACTGTGCCCCGTTGAGTTTGTTTCTCTAGTAAGTTTTCGCGTGGCCCTTTAAGATATAGGGGCAATAATCGGCGCTCTTAGGAAAAATCATCAATCAAATGTATCATAACCTACAAAAAAACTCTGATTAACGAAAACAGTCAGGCTTCGTGATAAACTAAATAAGATGCATCCAATCCTTGTATCTTGGCTAAAGTAGGCATCGAAATTGGCAGTGGCACAAGCATCATGCTGGTTTTGTGACTTTGATGTCCGCATCGGGCTCCAACTCCAAACATCTAAATGACCCGTGAGAGTACGAAACGTTTGAATGCCCAATCCAATAATGTCCTCAAGAAATTCCGGTGTTTGGAAAAGCTTTTTAATCCAGCAATTGAAGGATTGAGGGAAAGTAACTTTGCGGGGACCTTCTACTTCTAACCTTGACCATATCAAACTTTGCGTAAGCGTTTGAAGCTTTTACAGAATTAGTTTCCCACATAGCATGCGTTGTTCTCATAAAATTCGGCGGGTCCCCTCTTAGCAAATGTAAATATCATGAGACATTTTGCGCACACCTTTTCTACGCAACTTTTTCTTTCGTAGAAATCGTGAGATTAATGAACAACAATAATTTAACTGGTCGAAATCAAAACAAGTGACAAATAACATGTTCCTCTTAAGATTGCGAAAATCCACATCAATAACTCCACCCGAGCCTGCCAGCGTCCTAAAGCGTATTTTTTGGAGAAGAAAGAAGAAAGAAGAAGAAGAAGGGAAAAAGGGAGCAGCTTCATTTAAGGACTCATTAAAAAGTATTTACGATAGAGTCAAGGGGTTTTTTTCACCGCGTCTGTTGTGTTAACCACCAGAATTCCTTTACTTTTTTTCGACAAATACCTACTTTTTACAGGAATACTCCGATTAACCTGGCTTTAAGTGGGGGAGGGGGTGAAAAACAAAAACAGATCAGAAATATTCTTTAGAAAAATATCAATCAGATATAATGCATTTTTGTTTAAAGTGATTTCCTGTTTTTTTGAAATACTCAGATTAGAACTAGATGGAAGCAAAGCCCACAATCTGAGCTGTCTTGTAACATTGCATTTAAATCAAACAATCTTCATAACGGTGTACAAGAACAAAATGAAATTAGAGAGAGGCTAAGAACAAACAGACAGGAAAATTGAGACAGATAATGGGGTGAGAGGGAGAATAAATGCTTATTCACACACGCACATACACCTAGGGGGAGGGGTAGACCTATGCAAGAAGTTTTGGCGATTCGGATGCAGATGAATGGTGGGCCACCATCGCAGCTCGTGGCTGATTGAGAACCATTGGGTGCGAGAGGCTAGATTTACCGATGGAGGAGGTCTGCCCGTAGACAGAACAGCTGTGGATTTCGTCAAAATCGGTCTCTTCATCTTCTTCCTCGTTGTCAGCTTCTCTCATGTCTGTGGTGGAGTTCACTTCCGAATAGGTCATGTTGTCTCCAATGCTCAAGCGGTGCTCGTAGTGGGTGTTTGCGAGACCCAGCGGAGGTTGGATGTACACGTGCTCTGTGGTCTGGTACGAAGGGGTGATATTTGTAGGCAAAAAAGCGCGGCCACTGCTTTGCGATCCAGAACTGTTCGACGTAGACTTCATGGCGAAGTGGCCAGCCTGCATCAGGCGGCTGTCTCGGGCTGATGGCGGAAAATTTGGGGGCACGGACGTGGCAGAGTCATTGCTAGAGGCAGTTCCGCTGAAATAAGTATCCAAGGCTTAGCAGCGTTTCAAACTTACAGAAAGTGTGCGTAAACAATTTGGGTTGATGCAATACTTATAAGACAGGGCAGAAATCCGCCATTTAGTTATAATTTTCTAAAACAAGTCAGAAATTCTACTTTCATTAAATAAACGTTTTAACACCTGGGTTCTAAATTCCTCAAGGAAATAAAATTTTTCCACATTAAAGGAAATGAGTGGCCACCTGGCAACGAAGAAAGCACGAAAATGTGAGAATTTTATCATTTTTGTCATTCTGACATCATCATAAAAGGCAGCCTAGATATACATATTTTTACAGTCAACTATTCACAAAATAGTCGATCTGTAATGGTAACACGTAAGCTAGCAATTTATAATGGAGGAAAAGACAAAGATTGAGATTTGATGAGAGGGATAGAAAAGGGAGAATCATCCATCCCATAAGGGTGTCGACAGCGAAAGTTCCTAATTAAGGTTTTCGCAAGAGGCATATCAACCTCCCATGCAAGTTGCGCACCAAAATAATCTCCTTAATGCTATTTTCTTTGCGAACACTCTTGACAATCCGAAACGATGCTCACACGTTTCAATGGACTATACCGCGTTTGCCTGTGAAGCTAGTATTCTGCGCTACACTTAGCAAATGTGAAATAGCAGTCAGTTAATTTTACAATGCTTTCGAAATACACAGATTGCGTATACTGATAAGATTTTAAGTTTAAAAATGAGGTTCATAACTAGTGTATAAACGCCTCATTCGAAGCATATGCTCCAACACAAATTAATTTAAACTCCACACCCGTTTTTATGCACTTTGAAAATTCTTCACTACTTCGCACTGACATGACTGAGAAAAAAAGTGGAACAAAGTGGGCTGCAATGTCACAAAATAAAGCATTTCTGCGTGCGGGCATTTTTATCCCTCTTGAACAAATACAGGGTGTGACTGAACTGAACAAGCTTTCGTGGTGACTGGCTCTGGAAAGGAAGGAATAGCACCGCTCTGGTAGAATGTAACACCATACGTTGGGCAATATTCCTAATTTTTTATTACATACCCCTATGCCCGCAATACTGGATCCGATTACACAGTTGCAGTAACTTGTCAAACTAAAAGTGGTCGGTTTGGAAAGTCCTTATCTCGCCTCAAGCATAGTTTACGGCGGATTGGTTAAGAACTATTCTTCACGAGATGATACGTATACATGAAGAGCCTTTCTTCTTTTTCCACTTTGATATTACAAAAACCCAAAAGAAAGATTTCCAAGACTTTTAGTTATCTGTGCCATATAAGTCAAGCGAAGAATTCGAAGTGATGAAATGCAAATAAAGTAAGAATGAAAAGCAATTGCCAGGACATCAGCATTATGTAATTAGTTAGTAATAAAATCGACCCAACTACACTGAATTCCGATGGTTGGTTCTGAATAATGGAGGTAAATCTCTTTCGTTTTGAAAGTCACCCAGCTCCATAATGGGATGCATAGCTAAATATAAATATATTATTTCATACATTTGCCATTCAAATGTACTAATTCTCATGCAAGGTGGGGTCAAAGGGGTGTCGATCGAAATTTTGTCCCACAGCTCTGCGTCCCAGTTCGAACAGACAGGAGGGGGCTTGGCCAATGAATACATGTGACGAGTCCGAATTTTTTATGAATAGCTCTCCCATAGTAATAATTACCAGTTCATAATTTACTGTAAAGCAATATTCTTACAATTAGTTCAGGACAAAAGCGGCACGTTGAATTCATCCAAATAGAATCACTAAAATTTTAAGAACGGGATTTCGCTGTCTCCCATCTTTTAGGCACTTTTTTCTTAATGAAGACAGGTAACAAAATTCAATCCTTTCCAAACTCTGATTATTCAATGTTGTGTATTAAGTGTAACAATGAACATCTGGTTGTTTTGACTAGCACGGGTAAAACCAGGGAGCAGTGGATGAGACGAATGTGGCTATAGATTAAATCATTCTGCTTGCCGCGTGCTAATCCGGTATGAGGACTGCTAAAATTAAACACTTTTAGAATTTTACAATTTCATAACAGCAAGTGCGATAGAACGGTGTCTGCAACGTGCATTGACTTTTGTCAGGAATGGTAGAAATAGGCTACCCTTGTGCAGTCTAGTGAAGACAAAATGATCCCTTAGTAATATGCTAAGGTTCATTACTTGCGGAGTGAAATAAGTCAAAGAAGCATAGTGGATGTACTGGGAGAAATGGCTTGGATATCGAAACGCCGACGCAATGTACGGGGCGGGTAGCCTCTTAGTCATCGGCCACACGCTTAAACTGTGTCCAGCCGTTGCAAAATGGAGTTGCAATCGAGGCCTGATAAACATCCCACCCGAAATCACGCAAGCCAAGAGCCAAATAATGCAATATGAATGCGTATGTTTGCTCAATAATTTTTCATTTAAAAAGGAGGCAAGGCCACCAAGCTGAATCGAAAGGCGTGCACTTCCCAATTCAGACTCTGTAAAACCGGAAAAAAATATTTTACTTGAGATGACCTTAATGGACCGTTTTAGGATTCATTGTATTTTTTTGTCAAATGGGAATTAATGTAGCACACATTTTTGTGTGGGATAAGTACTGAAATAGCCTTGCGTATCAAGAACATACGGCAACTACCAAAATGGGCTGATCCTGCATTGACTGAATATACGCCTCAGAGTTACGTAATTTGACTGGAAACTTTACAAAGCGTGGCAGCCAGAATTTCGACGAAAAACCTTGATATCCTTCTTGGACTCATAAAATTGATTATTTCCAGCAAAAAAGTCCCAATAGATATTAATTCTTGCGAACTAACAGGATAACAGTTTCAACGGTCTTATTCAGTCGGAGGCAAAATGCATGCGATGTATGGGATTCCCAACATAGTTGTAAAAGAATTGCTGTTTTTTTTCCTATTACACAAATTTCAAAGAAAACTTCCGAGCTTATGTGACACTGGGACACTAGTAGCTTCGTGACAATAAGGACGAAGCATACCTTCACTCCGTCTCACTGATTCGGTTCAAACACAGCCGTCGCAGGTTAGGAATATGGACGATACGATTCACATGACTGCAGGAAATTCGAGACGAAATATAGGTAGGCTTTAGTCGATGCCAATGTATTCGACTTCAAAAGTGTTCTCACCGAAACATACGTTCCTTGACACACGAAAGTCATCTTAAGACAGTCGCATGAAATAGATAGGAACTGTGAGGAGTTTTCAACAGCTCAAAAGATGCTGCGAGTTTAATTGAAATAAGGCCCATGCTTCCGACCTTTTAGTTAGATATGCTTACATTATTCACGTATACGATTTGACTAAAATGACGTATCAGTTTGGGTAGGACGGTATCTCAAGGACGGAGATTCCCAATTTAAAACCACAAAGCTAAAAACTACAATTTGGGGTATTCGTTTATCATAACCACCACACCTGTCCAGGCTTGGGGGGTGATCGTCAGGGGTGAAATAGTGTGGGGAGAGAGTTACTGAAGCTAATCGGACACCAATCTCACGCACAAAGTTGAGTGACGTGGAACGTTGCCCAAATAGTCCAGAACTTGATAATTAGCTGGGTTAATCCAAGCACACCTCATTAGATGCTCTCCTATGAGATTTTTGGCACTGTCGCGAAATGGCAGTGAACTTAGTAAAATATTACGCCAGCAAACTTGGTTATTCCCACGGCAACCTTAAGCATGTACTTAACTTTTGTTATTCGACTTAAATACGATTACTGGCTTCTAGAAATTGCAAAATATTTTGGGGTTGTTTTTCTTAATGAGGCAAAATCACCTCATACAGCACTAGTTTAGAGGATGAAACCAAATTAAGGAATGAAAACTTTGGTAAATCTAGCTACTTTTGCCTTCAATAACACGAAGTATAAAAATAATGCTCGGTTCCAAAAGCTGTTACAGATGCAGTTGGTGAGTGCAAGGAGGAGAAAAAGGGGCACCAGACTAACCCGGTCATGTAACCGTGAGGTCCAACGAGAGCAGGTGAATGAGGGGTCATTATGGAGTGACCACTACTGCCCGCGCTGTCTCCCAGTCCACCCCTCTGTTGTTGTGACTGCGTCTGTGGCTGCAGAGAGGCACAAGTGGCGAAGGGTTGGTAACGCGGGCGGTGCACCAAGGGCGGTGATCGCAGGTGGTTGGATGAGAGCGAGGAGGAGCCGCCAGAAGTCCCCCCCCCTGCTGCCGCGGACTGTTCGCTGCTCGTCTGTCTGGGGTCCACAGAGAGGTGGAACTGTTGCTGTTGGTGCTGCAAACTATACGGTGAATGATGTTGCACCTGGCAACCCTCGGCCGCGTAGTATCCAGACAGGTAGCCTTTACAGAAAAAAGTAAACATAAGTGCTCAAAACCGCTTCATCTGAACTATGGGGAAACCAGTATCGCATCTGAAGTTTTCACTAACCCGGGTTCTAACCGTAGCTGTTCACAACAATCACACCTTAGGTAGGTATACTTTCGTGTCGGGCAGCTCAAACATGAATAGAAATAAATGGGAAGTACTCAGACATACGATCTAAGGGTTATACCCACAGGGGACAATTTGTTTGCTAAGTATACACCTTAACTGCTATGCGTGGTTGAATAATATACCCTATTTCTTTTCTTCGGTATTAGTTGGCGCCTTGATTTGGGAGGCAATAACAACGGAAAGGATGTTAGGATGATCAAATTAAATTGGTCGCTCGGGCAATACAGATGGCTGGTGAGTAGCAACAGCTACGGCTGTGTCGACGGAAAGGCACTCCGGCATGACTCATTCCGTGAGCCAACTGTCAATTTGCCTCTATTCCCAATGCATCAATCAAACTCGAAAATCGGTAACATGTGATATAGAAATGCGCAAAAGATGACTGCTAGGAATCCACGCAGCCATAAATTCGCGGATAACATCCAATACATGTATTATCTCATGTAAACTAAATGTCAATGGAAATCTATGTAAAAAGTAAGAGAAAGTTCGCAAAGTCGGAAACCATTTCTTCGTGCTAGCAAACACTAGTGAAAGGATCGTTACTTTACCCACATTCGGCACGGAGCAGAATGCACATGCTAACTCAAATACCTCTCTCCTTAAACCAGCTCTGCGAAAAACCCACATTCTAAATATGGACGCGTTTCACCAAACATCTGGAGCAGATGTTAGATAGAAAACCTAGCAGGCAGTCATCACTATTGTAGTACAGCACTGACTTTTCGTAAGCCCTAGGCTGCTTCGTTGTCCAAAGGTGCGCGTGTGTACGTGTGTCCGACCCATAGGCAGTTTTCGATTGGTCTGCCTGCTCTCTACGCTTGGGACACGCAAAAACTAAATCACGATTTTAACGAAAAACACGCAAAACTCTACAGCATTAGCATTCACCTGGCACTACTAAGAGATTTTCAGAATGTCACTTTGGTAATAAATTAGGTGAGATTAGGAAAAGGGGTCCTGCTGCGTATACGATTCTGTTCGATTTCGACTTCTATTGTCATTTGACTCTTTTTTATCTACCAACTCCAGAAGGAACCTAATTTTAGAATGCTTCCAAGGTGTAAATAAATTTTAGGTGCAAAATCCCATCGGTTTTCATTAACGCAAGTGAAAATTGCGCATCTCTGAATCTGATGTAAAATATTTCTTGATTTCTCCCATCTTAATCACTTTTTTTGTTCAGGCCATCACAGCAAAATCTTCCCAGCAGTTTCTACACTCCCGTCGATAAAGTTGAAATGATGCATATTAAAATCTGAGTGAGCACATTTTTGCGAGACATTTAAAACTGTAGGATTGCGCTCTGTGACAGCTTTCATAACGAATTTCAATTCCTCATCCGTTATTCAAATAACATTTTAAACTGGAAAGAATCTTTCGGTTTATTTTAAATCTGTTTGAGTAAGTTCATGCATCAAATATACTTAAATATTTCATACGGCAACGCTAGCATACAGTGCAAGATTCAACTTTTCTGGGTTCGATTTCTTGTCAAACATGCCTATCTTCCAAACTAAACTAATCCCATCGATAAGGACTATAAGTGTTAGTTTTTTGACAATGTTTGACTAGTCCTTGATAGGGCGGTGCGAATTTCAATTGTGGTAAAATAGCTGCACTGCTTCACCTAATGCAGAATTTAATGCTTTGAAAAACTGAGCGCCCCGTCATAGTTACTTAGCCATGTCTCTGTATCCCAGATGAAGACCGATAGGCTCAGGTGAAAAGAAATAAATACTATGCTGCTTGAGGGCTGTACATTCCGAGGCTTGCGCAATTCAAGCCCAAATTTAGCGTAGTTGGAAGGATGTAGGGTATGCGTTGGGGGAAAGTGAACTGCCTCACATGTCCTCTGGTGGCGGAAATGAGACCACCGTGGCATCACAACACAATCCCCTCCTCTACCCCGGCGGGACGACGGTGTGGTGAACGAGCAGGCCAGAATCAGGGTCGCCTTTGTATGCCCGTGGATGCGTGCTGCATCACCTCACTCGGATGCACACTCGCACGCGCGCGCAAATACATTTTAGCACCTCTGTATGTGTGCCAACACGGGGAGAGGACGGGAGACCGGAAATCGTGATAATCGGATACAAAAGCACCAAAGCGCGGTACACGTCCGCGCTCGAGATGTAGACGCGACCTTCGAGCAAGGATTGTGTGCACGCATGCAGGCGCGCGCACACAGCTTCTCGACTCAAGGCAGCACACATCCGCGTGTGCGTCACGAATTCGGCGATCTCAGGAATACACGGTTGCAAATAGCTAGCTAGAGGTACTTTTACCCTTCGTATTTTGTACGCCCAAGACACTTATACCTGAAATACCCTGAGTAGTGAATCACTCCACGGTTGGGGAGAATGTCTCAACAACGTTGCCAAAAGGCTCTACACGCCAATACAACCATAAGTTCACTCGTCAAAATCGTTGCAAAAATAATGATCGGTTGGTAAAGAAGAAGCAAGAACCGAAATGCACAGGAAAAGAGAGGACACATTTAGATGCGTCCACCCCAAACGGTGAAGACAACTTGTGAAAACGATTTTGTAAGATCGGAAGATACATGGGTCTTCTGTATGATTCGGCAGCTCTAGCAAGCGATTCCCAAATCGCTGCCAAATATAGCGCGCAAAATCCCCAAAACATGAACTTTTATTCCATAAATGGTAATAAGGGATGAATAAGGAGCGGGTAGCACACACTTGTAGATGACACCACCTAAGCAAGCAAGGGGGAAATAGGTGGCAAAGGGCACATCAATTTCAGATCTCCTGCGGCATTACCCGAATTGTAAGGAAAACTAGATGCAGCGTAGGAGAGGGGACAATAATCACGTCCAAGGCAATAAAATCAGTTAGCATGTCGGAGACTTTCAAAGGTACGAATCGAGGGCTGCATCACATTAGAAGCGACAATTTTGAAATCGTCTAAATTACTAAGACATTCGAAACTGACAGCTTAACCTAAACAGTAAATCGCAGACTTTCTTCTAAACAACCCAAGTGTCGGTTCACCCAAATTCACGCTTCCACAGGTAGCTTAGTAACGCCTGCACTGTTTTATAACCTTTTTGCGTAACGAAGGTAACGCAATTCCCAGGTGAACAAGACCGGTTATCGGGACAGACTGCAGGATGAATTCATCGCAGCATGTGAAGTGCGCGGTTAGGCTGCCTCAGACCAAGCGCCCACGCCCCACTAGCATGCAAACCGAAGAGCGCTCGCATAATCAAAGGGGGAGACCCGCCAATGAGTTTGAAAAAGCCTCGCCTGGCACGTATACAAGAATACTGCTCGATGGCACAGGTCATCGTGGATGATTTGTAAACACCCTGTTTTATTTTTCATATTCAGAAACCGTCTGTAGAAAACAAATGCCGATTCACTGACTGTTATTCGAACGCGTGGGTCGTTTACAAAAAGTTCACGTCCAATGAAATCGATCACGAGAACAACTGTTCCCGAGTTTGTTTGGAGGGTTCCATTCGAAAAAAACAGCAACGAATTATACCTTACCATCTATCTTGTGAAATTACAAACATTGCCATAAAAGAGGAAAAAGATATCATGGAAATCACACAGTGACTGGCGAATTGATGCGCAGATGAATGGGTAGATGAGTGGATGAATGGGCAGACGGACGGACGGAAAGAGAGCCGACAACTTCACCTGGCTGCGCGGACGCTCACCGTCGGAAGGAGCCGTGATTCACACGACGCGTGTGCGCGCGTCTGCACTAGTGAGTAAGCCGGACACTGGCAGAGGCAAATTGTTGGGTTTTAGAACTAAAAACTGAGGCCAGTGCAATGATTTAATTCACTTTAAGATTGGACTATTACATCACAAACTTGCTTTTCTTAACTCTAGCTAGACGTATCACAAAACACTGAAAATAGTATGTTCACAACTCTACTGGAAGCCCTAAAAAAGGGAGTTCAAATATAAAACGGTGTCTCAAATCGCAATTTAAGACAGTTTCAACGACGAGTGAGATTCCATTTTTCAGAGCTTAAAAATTTGGCATAAAACAACCAATAAATTGCTTAGCCGTTGGCACAAGATTACTCAACAGTGAATAGCTCAGGTCTCCCGGTTTCAATCAAAGCGCTTTTTAATACTTTTAAATATGTTCGCGCTTCCCCTCCCTCACACAAGTACCTTTGGCTCGAATCCATGGTGCGACCGCTGGAGACAAACTAATACAAAGCAATTAGTTTAGAACAGGTGTAATGCAAAGCTTTAATAGGACGATGCGCGAAGGCACACACACAAAGAACCTTTTCAAGTCGTTTCAATAAAAAGTTTAGTCGTATTTTATACCAAACAGAATACAACTCGCTGATAGCCTTAGAAAAATGCGTCTACGGGGTAGAAGCACCGCCTTCGAGTAGCCTAATTCGGTCAGGCTAAATGGCCATTAAAAAGCCATAAATCTCTAGGAGAAGACCAGTTCGGTTTGGATTAAACAACCAATTCGCTGTAAGATTTGTTCACGTAGAAACCACCCAAAACTAGTAACAGTACCACAGCAATAGCAAATGATAAAAACAGCAAATAAAACTAGCAATAGCGTTTAGATCGTGTACGTATCAGGAAAATATTTACAACCAAAACGTTAAAAATAAGAATTTCTGAAAAGGAGGCGGCTTCACTTCTAATACACAACACCCTAGATTGTCGTGTCAAAATCTCAAGTTTGCGAAATCAATGCACTTTAGCCTCTCAATGGTGAACTAGGACCTTCGGATGAGACACTTTAAGCGAAAAACTACGGGAGACAGTTGTGAGTTCCGATATTTGCTTATGGCTTGCCAATCTAAGGTTATGGAACTCTTCCGCCATAGGCGAATTACCAAGGTTCAGAACAATGAATGCAGGCCCCCTGGCTGCCGCTGCCATGGTGACAATCACTATGATCGGCAGAGACCAACAGCAACTTCCTATAAAGCCTGAAGTTGATACTTCCGGTCATTCCAGTGTGCAGACGTTGACATTACTTAATGCCAATCACAGGAATATCTGACAATATGTAACTAGTGGCATTTACTAAAATACCTAAAAGTTCTAAAAAGCTGATTCTTATTGAAACAAGGCCACCAGGAAGATCGACATTGGTGCGGAGCATAAATGGCATCCAGTCCCTCAAAAATCCGATGAAATGTTACGTAGACGAGTAGCCTCAAATGCTAATCGAAAGCACCAAGTGTAACAAGTAATTCTACAAATTTATACAATCTTTCAAAAAGTTGATGTGATGGTAAAAGGTGGATTTTAGGCCCAAAGGGTCACTTCCTCACACAGTCTGCACCAATTAGCCCACTGAAACTTTTCCGAGCTAAATGTGACCTTATTGCACCGATTTACAAATTACGCTCCGCGTCTACCAAAGCAGACAATTAGCAGGCTAATTGGTTGAGACCGCCCAAGTATTCGCGTCGCCCCTCTTGACCAGACCACCCGGCTAACAATAAAGGTGTGGATAAAATAAATCAACACCATCAGGCGCAAGTGGGATTCATCCGGTCGGCAAATAAAACACTTTTTTCGTAAGCGATTGTGGCGTCAGCCATCTATCATGTTACGCCAGGCAGTTGAGTGGGCGGCAGTGTGAGAAAATTCTACACCACCCTCTATACGTTAATAAAATAAGTTTTTCCGCAATTTTGACCGGAGAAAACGTTCATCTAACGTTAGAAAACACTGTTTCAACCCAATCGCCCAAAAATAGTTTTGCTGCCGCTCGGAAATGGTCACTATCAAAATAATGTAGATCACACCCATTCTAAGAGGACAGATGATTTTGTTTTATTTACAAATTTCTATGCCCTTTAAGCAGAGTGGAGAAGGGCTGAGGTAGCAGTAAGCGGAGGAATGTGGGGGACCAATTGAGGCAGTGGAGCGTACGGAAGCCGGAGACATCTGCTCGGGCACTGAATCAGGATCGACGAGATGGAGTTAAAGTAGAGTGAAGTACAAACCACTGACTCGCCAGATACAAAAATACGCGTTCTTGCCCCTTGTCAGGGTCCCCATGGTGTAGAGAAGTAGATGGGAGGTGAGTAGGTAACATCCAGTTGAGCGACATATTTACGTCAAATGAGCTTAAGATGCAAAGTCTCCTCTGTAAATCCAGGCGTAGGGATAGAACTCACGTTCAACCGAGCGTCGTGCAGTAAAATGATGCTTGTGTTAACTACTTGTATTTAAATGAGTCTTTGCAATTTCTTGCAATTTGATCCCCAAGTTGGTGAAAATGAGTCCTGCTCGTTCTAATTGTCTCTTTGCCATTCGGAATGACTCGGGCGCTACATTCGTGGCGGTCATGGCGGGCGCAGTCCGAAAATACAACAATTTTGACATTGTGACCAGAAAATAAGCTAAAACAGCAGAGGATGCTAAATTTGGGATTACGAAGTCAACTTTTGGGAACTGCTCCAATCTCGAGTTCTACGTAGTACTCAACAAGGCAACGAGACCAGCTTTGCGCGTCTCTGGTATTTACTTGGGTGTTACGGCTACATCGTTATGACATGGTAAAAACATGGGTGAGAGCATTTCAGCAACAACCTGAATTAAAATTTGGATCAAATGTTACGGTGCAAATAACCAGCTTTTCGTAGGGGTGAAATGAGAGCACTACCTCTGAAAAAAAATTGGTGTATTCTGATTCAACGATTTCTCCAGAAATTGGTCCTCACAGTATTTGCTAAGCAAAGCATACAGCTTCCCGCTGTCAAACACACAAGAGTGAATGCAGACCAATGTAACTTTTTAGTGTAGATTATCAAGCATAAATTTTAAGGCGACGTTAACCTGACTACGGAATCAATGAGTAGAAGCACCTAGACCTATCAAGTAATAATGACTAAAGTAGGCGAACAAAGTTAACCCGGCGATTAGCTTTATTCGAACGAGTTTGTAAACAGCACTACACCTTCCGCGTTATAAATGTCATCTTCATTCTGAAACTTTTCAAAAACACTGTTTTCCGTTATTGGCTCACCGCAACGGATTTCCGATGCATAAAAATTCAGTGCAGTGAGCTTTTAAAACATTTTTATAAACAGTAGGCAGTGTAATCAAATGAAAATTTCTAATTGTTATTAGCAGGAGAAGTTTGCGCCCACCCAGGTTTACACCGCCTCAAGCGCAGCTCGGAAGACAAATTACGATAAGTAAATCTACAAATCTTGGAGTATCAAAATTGACTGAACTGTGAAGAAACAGCTCTTCCTTGAAAAGGGGTAAACACAAAAGGTGGTAGGTGGGAGTTGACTAAATTTGAAATCTTCTTTCACAAGTTTACCACTCGGTTCAAAGTGGACTCACTGCCACCACTGGGGAGACTGCCATCGTCGGAGAGATGTCGAAGTGCTTCCTGAGTGGTTCCAGTAGTAGTATTAGTGGGATGTGAGGGCACAGGGGGCAGAGAGAAGAGAGGGGCGACGACCTTACCCCCACCGGGCAAGGGCGGCGGGGGATAGGGCGGAGGTGGAGGAATCGTGGACATGGCCGCATGCTCGCTGACTGGGGACCTGTGCTGTTGCTGCTGTGGTGGTTGGTTGGTCCAGATTGGCCGCACCACCCCGGCAGGCATTGTCGGATGATCATTCACAGAGTGGTCAACCTAGAAGGGTAGAAGGGAAGCAAATGGGTGGTTGACGAACGAATTTGCCAAGATTGAGCCAATACCTAAAAAAATAACTTAATTGAAAGTGGAGAAATTGCGCAGACAGTGGAGGACTTTTCGCAAAGCATTAAAAACAAACAAGCGCTGAATAATAGGAAACCCTGACATTGATGGGCGAAGCTCAAGTCATTGTTGCATTGACGCATAACTGCGTTATTGACAGTAAGAGATACATGCGCAATTGAATTCACTTTTGCCATAGGTTGTTAAAAAAACCCACTTCAAGAAAAACCACACAAACAACGAAGAAAAACATTATGCTGCAATTGGATTATGTCTGGGAGACCAAACGATTTCCCCGTTGGTTACAGGCCCAAAGGTCAAATGTGGTAATCAGAACTAAACGCGGGGGAGCTCGAGCTCGAAGGCGTACATTCTGTGACAGACTTAAGTGGTTCAGCCATTTACAGACTTGTAATAAAAATGGCATTGCAAATGCCACTATGAAGGCTGCTAAGCTCATCACAAAAAAGTATTTTTTTTGTCGGATCCGCAAATCGGAAATAATTTTTAGCAGCTGATAGTCATTTATGTTCTGATTGTAAATTCGAGAATAATAAATCAGTTTTATAATCGCAGACGAATTGCAAATCCATGAATACGCAAAACATCTTCTCTGTTGGGAATTTTTCCTCAATACTGAACCCAGACATTTAAATAAAATATTCAAGAATTCAGTTGAATAGAGGAGCCTACAGACAAGAAAGCACGATTCAATTCCCACTAAATACACAAACGTTAAATGAGGTATACAAACAGTAAGAGAAGCCTATATGCTTTGAAGATTTGCGACGAAATAATTCCACGTAATAATAAAGCCAAATCCAGAAGTATGATGGCTCTGCTTTACAGATAATGAAAGCGCCTGCTGCTTTAACACCGAATAATGACAGTAAAAATGCACGATTCCTCAAAAGCAATTAAAGTAGCAAAAAAAGGCTTTTAAAGGTTACAATGGAAATTACTTTTGTGCGCATTAACCTTGGAAGTCATTTTGCCTTGAAAATACTTTTACACTCAATCACGCATTCAACCAGTCTTGGCTAGGGTACGCCGAGGGTTTAGTGGAAAATAAACACTCATTTGTGCTTAGGAATTTAACAAGGCTAAGGCTTTTATCCAGCGGCCAAAGAGTGCGATAGAAAAGAAATGACATTCTTGGTTTTGACGACTCGTAATCGTGACATAGGTTACCAAGACTAGAGACGGCACCGAGGAAATGGAGTGACAAAATCATCCACGAGGATTACCCACATCTCAAATCTGCCCTATACATAGCCCCAAAATATTCCCTTTGTTTCCAAGATCCATTTTCCTACGTACCTCAGTTGCAGGATTCCAGGAGGATTGGTTCATCTCCGGGGGCAGCACATTGCTACTGGCGTATGGCGGCACCTCGTGGGGCGTTTTACTGCGACTACTGATGCTGTTCTGCAGCTGCGGATCATTCTGCTGTGCCTCGTAGTGCAACAATCGCCCATTCGGAGGTCCTGACGAGAATCCAGGAAGACTGTTGATCATGTTGTAGGCTCCGGGCGGGGTGGCAGGCTGGAAGCTCCCAACACCAGTGGGGTAGGGGACACCGGCGGTAAGGGGCAAGCCGTGGCCCCTGAAGCAGTCCTGATTGCTCGTCGTGTTTGTCGGCGAGCTGGCAGACGAAGAGTTGAGCATCAACATGGTCGGATCACAGCTGCTCTCGACACCCTTCAGCAGACGCTGCACCTCCACACCACTCCCATTGCGAGAGGCCTTGCATTTCAGTAGGGCGGCCGAGTGGCTGGCGCTGGGTGGATAATCCTGCACCTCGGTGGTAGTGGTGATAGTGTGGCTGGACTTTGTCCCTGATGTATTAACGGGTGAGACAAAACTGTTGTTGGCTTTTCGTGAGGACATCTTAAATGCGGTTTGGTCTCGCTTAATGGGCTTGGTGGCGGAGGGGGTGCCAAAACAGCAGTAGCCAGGCGAGGCGTGCTGAGACTTGTGACGCCGCAAACACGTAACGAAGAGGCAACCGATTAGGAGCCAAGCAATCAATATGCCGGAGACAGCGCCGTAGGCCCAAACAGGGAAGGGTGCCGTCTTGGAAGAGGACCCAGTGACAGACGAGGGTGGATGCACCGTTCTCCCGAAGATTGGCATTCGATAACCAGGGCCACGAACACCCTCACCTCGACATGTTATGCCCGCCAAGAATATGGTGTACTCAACATTTGGATTGAGATCGATTAGGTCGTGGGTACTAACATCTGGTGAAACCTACAAATACCAGGGGAAGTTAAGTCTACACTGCTAAAGTTGACGATCCAATCTTGTCACTTCGGTAATTCAATAGAATAGAATTGCTTCCGTTTTTTTGAATAAATCTAGGACATAAGCGTCGGCTATGGGGCAAAAAATGCGAAGATATTAGTCTCTAGCTTGAGTGGCAGCTTAACTGCCTTAGCTCTAAACGAACCGCAGTTGTATTTAAAGGAATGCACGAATAAAGGAATAATGCCAACTAGTTTCTTGCCACTTTAAGATGAAGTCAACTAATAACTCCGCAGTTTTACAGAAAACAATAATGACGCAAGCCTATTTTCTCACAAAACATTGAACAGTCGACATACCTTTTGTGATTGTGTGTAGTTAGAATCATTAGCGATAAGATGGATAGAGTATCCTATGAGAGTTCCATGAGCAAGATATAAATCCAGGGGCATCCATTTTATACGAATTGCGGAAGACGTTATCGGGTACTTGCTGGAATAGTAAGATACATTTCCAAAGAGGAATGGGAAATAAAACATATTTTGGGGGGCAATGCCACTCAACCAATGGGCGGAGATAAGCTGAGGTGCTTCACTGGGAGCTGAGTCCAGACTTAGCACCAACTCAGCCGGTGTTTCGCGGCTCCAAATCCTCCCATAGGTTTGATCATCTTTAAATGCCTTAACGGTGATCTCGTAGCAAGTGAATGGATGAAGGCCACCTATCACCGCGCCTGTGTTAGGCGATTCTCTAGAGACGATACGGGAAACAATCAAAAACTTTTCAGGCACTGCATTTCCGCTTGAAACGTGCGCTGTATTTACAGACGCCTGTCTGAACCGTTCGATCAGCTGTTTACTGCTGAAGCTGCAATGGGCCTGCTCGGTGGTGGGTGGGATCATGTCATCATAACCAAGTCGAAAACGTTGCTTCACTCCAAATGTTGATGGACTCGTTAGATCCTTGACATGAGAAGCCGCACGAGCGGAGCAGCGAGACATGAAAACGGGTTTTGCAACTATCTGAAAGCCGTCGACGAGTCCGATAGCACCGTTGGTGGGCTGCACTGCCCAGCTGATGAACATCTCTGAGGCGCTCAGACTGCGAGCACTGACGCCGAGGAACATGATGGAGTTCACTCGAGTTGAGAGGTCCTGAAAGTCTTCTGCCGCCTTACCAGACTCCAAAGGGTGAGCATTAGAGGTCTGGCTTGAGGGCGTTGATTGTGCAGTATAGACGATGTGATTAACGAGCGCCCCTCTACTCCATAGATGTAGGTTCGATGCACGAACCTCAACCCAATATCCACTGTCAGGAAGCAGACCTGCTAGGCGGAAACGCCTCTCCCTAGTTGATTCAACTGCGCTTTCCCAAACGTCTATCGGATATTGGCCACCATTAACAGTACCAAAGTCAACTGGAAGTTTATAATCTTGATAATTAGGATCCTTTACTACTTGCGCTAAATTGAACGGTTTAGCACGATGACTGGGTAAGTAAGTCGAGTTATGAAATTGTAGCAAGTAGAAGACTTGGAATTCTACATCAGAGTCAGTTCCCTTTAGGGATTCGTAATCCCAAGTCAGGGAAATCCAGGTATCACCCACACCTAACACCGTAACGTTAAAGGGTGGACGGGGGGCTTCTGACGCCAAGGAGAGTTTGCTGAAGCGATCAGTAAGTGAAGTAGAGGTTATCGGTATATGCCAAAAGGCTACACGCTTGTTCATCATACCAAGGACCATACAAGAGTAATTTCCCACATCGCTGTGGTGAACGGGTTTGATGATTAAAGAGTTTTCTGCATCTGAGCGAAATCTCTCATTCGATGAGGCGGAGAGCGTTATCGCCATTTTATCTTTGTACCAAGATCCTTTAAAAGTGGTAAAGGGGTTGAAGGTGCCGACTTCTGTAGCGTTCAGCGTACCAGATGCCATGTACCCATAAAATTCTGATAAGTTAGGAGCCGAACAGACTAGCCTCAATTCATTCATGTTTTTTCGAGGATTGATAAAAACAGATTTTGTAGCGATTCCTATACGACCGGGAAACAAATGAGGATTCGGCTGAACAAACAAATGAATAACTGTTCGAGTGAATCCGGCTGAGGATGAGGCTCGACACTCGTACGTTCCCGAATCCGATATCCGAACAGTACTAAATATCAGTGATCCAGTTTTAGTTACTGTAATTCTCTGAGAGGACGATTTAATCCAATTTAAATAGTATTCCGATGTTCTTTGATTGATCCAACGAATTTCTGGGACCGGTAATCCAGTCGCTAGGCAAACCAGCTGAGTTCGAGTGCCTTCTAGGAAAACAGCGTTCCCCGGTGGTGTCTCGACAAATCCAGGAGGGCTTCTTATCGTGAGACGCGCAACAGCTTCTATCACTCCACCGTCGTTGCTGGCTTGACAAACGTAGTCACCGGCATCTTCCAATTGAATATTCATAAGTTTCAACGAACCATCCGCTAGGAGCATAGATCGCGTGGTTGAAATGGCAGGAACGGGCGGGTCGCGACGCCAAGTCAGAGTCGGAAGAGGCTCGCCGGAAACACGACAAGCAAATTCAACTATGCCGTTTACTGGAACAGTTTGACTTTCAGGTGCCACTAAGAAAAGTGGCCTCTGACGAACATGCAGATAGGCCTTTTTGCTGGATTTCTCAAATGCAGGAGATTTTGCAACACAAAAATAAATTCCTGCATCAACCCACGCAACTTTCTCAATCCTCAAATTCGTTCCATCCACAATTTGAATGCGACTGGATAATTCGACCTCTTTTCCATCTTTGTACCATATGACCACTGGTTTTGGTGATCCACTGGGTGGTTCGCACAACAAAATAACCGTTTCTCCGATACTAGGGGCTTTTGATTGAGGTTCAACAATAAAATCCTCCTCCATAAATGCAATAAATACATTAGCCAGAGAGGAAACAGTCCAACCAAACTCATTGGATGAATTGCAATAGTATGCACCGACAGTTTTTCGTGAAATTCGGAAAAAGAGTTCGCTTATTATAATATCATCCGACAACTTCGTGGATTCAATCCGATATTCCAGAGTCTCAGATAACTTTGACTTATTTCTATACCAATCGATAGCCACAGGACCATCATTCCTGACTCTGCACTGCAGAGATGTCATTTGATTTTCATAGCCAAAGGTTTCCGTAACGCCATGAGTAATGATAGGTTTTTTGGAGAAAGTGGAAAACGCGAACAAAAACAAAAGCAGAGCGTAGAGAAGAACACCAAAAGCCATTAAAGATCACGTGTTGAAAAGCTCCAGAACCAAACCACAAGTTAGTTCATCGCAAAAACCACGAAAACCGCGGCACCAGGTCTAGTAAGTAACAGGTAGTGGTTAAAACAACCTTAAGGCTACTAAAAACAAAATAATAAATTATCTAAATATTATTCAAAGGCTAAAAATGTAAATAGCAAAGTCTTAAACAATTAAAAACAAGTCTCACTAAACAGTGCAAAATAAATTGCACAATGATTATAAAAGATTAGCCAGTAGTTCAGTGTTGTTAGCTTACTCATAATTTTTGGGTAAATGCATTAGTTTGTGACTGTAAGCTGGCGTTTTTTTCAGTGTTTAAACATCGCGCATGCATTTTATTGCTACAAAACTTAAGCATCCAGAAATAACAGACGCAGTGGCATTTTAATTCTATGCAGACGGCGGTATTATTAAGCCATTACATGTGCAAAATAAGTAGTGTTTTTTTAAGGTAAAGTTTTAAAATCAAAAAAGGATTCTCAGATCACCTGTGCGATTCTTCTCCAAAGACATACAAGAGTAGCACAACCCGAGATTTTAAGTAATGCATGTAGTGTCCCGCAACTTCCCTGGG